AAATAGACCGAAAGGAAATGGAATCGCAGGCAGGGGAACATCACAATTGAATTGTGACTTCTTGGGGCAGTTGTCAGTGCTTGATTGATCTGCAGAAAGCGTGATTTGTTTACAGCAATTGCAAATGTTGCTAATGTTGCTGCGGTGCCATGTTGCTGCTGGTCGCAGTTCGACTTATGTTGCTGATGCTTCTGTTGCTGCTGCCATTTCCACTATCGAATGATGGTAATCGGGGAAAGCGACATTTATGCAAATGCCAGGCTTGTTTAATAAACGCAAATTATGAGCCCGGCAGCAACATGTTGCAGGTAACAGGCGATGGCAGATTAGCGACATTCAAACTTGCACTTGGGTCAATTTAAATTTGTGCAACAGTTGGTGGCAGTTGCACGGCAGCAACTCCTTGCAGCACAGCAACACATGAGATTGTGGGAGCAACAGGCAGCATTATTGTGTATGGCCAAGATCGCAATTGATCGGGGTGCATTGGTGTTGGTGTTGCTCTGGCTGCCCGACGACAACTGTTGCTGCTGTTGCTACTGATCAAGCGATCAGGCCAAGCAGCCAGCAACAATCGACGCTGAGCGTGCTCACACGAAATTTTCAAGTACTGTGACAATTTTCCTTCCCCTTACTCTGCCCTGTTCCCTGTTCCCTGTTGTTATCAGCGCGCCATGCAACAGCAACAGCAACAGCAACAGCAACGGCAACTACAACACAGGCAACAGCAGCAACACATCTCAACAGTTGCATCAATTGCTCAACATTGAACTCTGTGCACAGGCCCAGACGATCACCCCTTCTGGGGACCCCCTTCAGTCGCCCTGCCCCCAGCCCTTGTATCATTTGCACGTTTTTTAATTAAGACATCAAAAAGAGACTTTGACTTGGGCGATTTCGAGGAATTGCTTGCCGTCTGTCTTTGTCTGTGGCTTGTGTTTCGGTTTCTATAGATCGAAGATATAGTACCACAAAGGTTGGACTACATAAACAGTTGAGGTGGAAATAGTAGAACCTCAGAGTTTGGCTTTCGGGTAAAGATAATGGGATACTCATACCCGTATTCATATTTCATAATATTCGAAATGAAATCTGTTATGCTCTCCTATTGCACTTTAAAATCGAGTTATAGTCAACGAAATAAGTGCCTTAGGAACATTTTCTCATTGAAGAGCTAAAAGTTTGACCATAAGTGTATGCGATTCCACTCCCACAACTCGAAACCCTTAATCTCTTCCTCCCATTGACATCAGCAAGTAAGTTTGAACCAACTGAACTAAATTAGTTTTGGTCCAAATACAAGGCTATTGGTTTGAGTTTGGCGATAATACGATGAGAGGACTGAAGAAGCTACAGGGAGTACATGGTGGAGAGGTTGAAGAAGAGCCAAAATTGCTTATCCTTGGATCGAAGGAATTTTGCTCACCGGGTTCCCATAGAGACGGCTCAAAGAGGTGCTGACTATAAAAACAAGAGGTAGGAATCGAAGTTAAAGCTGGCAGAAAGCTGGAAAAAGAGCAGAGGATTCGGCGAGTAAATCACGAATAGCTTGGAAGCCCCCAAGATATGAGAATGTTGATTATTTACACGGACACACGGCGCAAAAACAGATCTGCTGGAGCTTAGTAACCCCCCTCCTCGACTGCTCCTCCTGCTGGCCAAGTGTGAAGTGAAATGAAATTTGCGAACTTTGCGCTCTTTGCATTCATTCCCCGGACGCAGAGGGGCCTTTTTCTTTTCTTTGATTAATAACAATTGATAAGCGTGGAGCTGGCCCAGAGACCTGGCTGCATCCCCGAGCTGCTGATGGCGTTGATTACCCGTGCCAGGTCCCGTAGTTCCAGTCCGCGCACTCCGCAGTCTACTTGAAATCAGAGTCCCAGTCCCGGAAACCCAAGGCAAGGTGGCAAAATTTTCGCGCGAAAATGAAGATTTCTCTTATCACAATTGGCAGCTGCAGACGTTTTCCCTTTGCCCCCTTCTTTCTGGGCTGCTCACTCACGTTTTTCAATTTCTGTTCTCCCCCAAAAATCCTGATCATCGATAGGGACTCCAGAAATTTGTTTAATTATACTCCATTGGGAATTATCGAGGCAGTAGTCCCCGCACATTTTGTGTGACTAATGAGGCAGTGGAGTCGCAGTCGCGAGTCTGCAAAATATTTGAAGAAATTCTGAACAGCACTTTGGTCAAGACTTGTGAAAGAAAAATAATGAAAAGGTGACTGGTAATCTTAGGAGAGAAGTCCTAAGCTATATACTAATGGGTCGGCTCTTACAACCATAACATAACGAATATCACTTGCTTTCCACATTTGCCGCTTCAACCCGCTCATTACACATACGCCCCAGTGGCATCTTGGAGAACTTTAAGTAGTGGCCCAGCTAGACGCACTGGCGACTTACTCCCGCCCTCCTGGGCAACACAGGATTATCCCTGGCATGCCACCATCTCCAGAAAGATCTGCCAGTGATAGCCAGTTTCGTTTTCGTTGAGCTAGGCCTTTTACTTCGATTTCAAGTTAACTGACCCCGAAACGATTAGCAGCGACGGCGGTCCGCGGTTGAAAGCCAGCGACAAATGAACAAAGGGTCGATCCCGGGGATCTGCTCCTCTCGGGGCTCCTCCGGGACCTGGGCCAAATTGTTCGATTGTTTATGGCTGCCAACAACGCCCACCGAGAGAAGTTGCGGCCAAGTGAGAAACCAGCAACAATCATCTGCCGGCTGATAAAGTGCCAGGTACCCCCCGACCTACCTCCCTCCCCCTCCCTCTGCCGCAAATGCTGTGTGTTTTTGTTGTGTCGCTTATCGGCGAGGATCGATCGCAGCTCCAGCAAGAAGAAGAGAAGAGAGACCTGAAGCTGAAGACGACGGCCGAGCTGATTCAACAAATTGATAAACAATTGTTGGCGTTGGCCGTGAGGGGATGGAGCATGAAGAGGGGCTGAAGAGAGGGGGACAGAGGGCACCTTCAACCCGCCGAAAGGTGTGTGGGGCGGCGTAACGTTACGAAACGGCTAAACAAACGATCGTCCGATCGCCGTTTCAGCGAATACTGCGTGTTCCCAGATCCGAAATCGATTTCGTATGCGAATGCGTAGCCTTGGAACTTCTACCCTATGAGTTCTTAAGGATTAGGTTGTTCTTTATTATTTCTTTTAACCTAACTTAGATGATGTTAAAAGTAACTGAACTATAAAAAATTTTAACGTTTTTAAATAAAAAGTGGCTTAAAAATCGATTAATTTCGTGTTACTGAAACCGTTTAAGTCGAGGCTTTGAGAGATTTCACTGCTCGGAACCGAAACCGCACAACAATGAAAATGAAGAGAGGGTGTTGTGATGGCACTCGCGAGACTATCTGTGGAGGAGATCTGCTGCTCCAACTGCTGCACCGCCAAGCCTGGCCTGGGCTAATCCTCGGCGGCAGAGGCAGCTGTCGCTAGGGGCAGAGCTAGGGACTCCGAGCTGGGGATCGCAGTCAGAGACAGAACCAAAACCAAGCTGAAAGCCATTGTTAGCTGTTAGTCTCCCGTTCACGCTCTATCGGCGCTCGGCCATCTCGCTGCCCTGCTCCTCTCTGCGCGGAGGCATCTTCTCCCATACAAAACACTTTACGTGTGCGGCTTATCGCCACCCAATCGAAGGCAATAAATATCTTACAAATAAGCAGAATGCCTCGGAATGCCAGCAGAGCCCTTTACTCCGAGGGCCAGCGGGGTGTTGCGATTCTTCTAACCGATTGCTCACGTGCAGAATTGTGTGAATTCGTGAAAAATCGACGGCGGCAATTAGGGCGGGCCGTCAATAGTTTGGCAACAGTTGCAATATTTCTTGCAGTGGCAGCAGCAGCGGCAGCGGCAGCAGCAACGACATCACAAACAGCAGCAATCAAAAGACTCAGGCAACAAACTTGCTTTCCACAGGAAGAAATTCTGAGATTATTAAACGAAAATTAAAAACCAAAGATTGAATTATATTTCGCCATCCAAGTTTTTTAAGAAATCCAAGCAATGTTCAAAAAAAAGGTTTCCTTGTGGTTCAGTGAGAAAATTGTTCCAGTGGCAGTCCCAAATGTTCCTGTGAAGAATATTAGACTCTGTACAAGTCTCTAATTCTCCGTCCTTGTCTGGGACTCAGTCGCTCTGAATGTGCTGACATTTCAATAGCCATCAATTGACAGGTCAACGCGCATCTTCACCAGCTTACAAGGAGGGAGTCCGTGGGCAGGAAGGTCTCCTGAAGGAGAGTTTTGGGAGCTGTGGCCCGCACGAGCAGGGCAAACATTCGCTGCGGCCGAGATGTCGAATTTCTGGCGAAGCGAGATGCAAACTGCAAACTGCGACGCTTATCCGGCGGCTCCATCTGCATGCCATGTGTGTGCCATGTCCACGTCCACTTCCACTGTCCGCCGGCATAATCTCGGCCAGCATCGCCATTGGTCGTTATAATATTTCGCCGTGGCCAAAACAGAAACAAATCAGATGTCAGTTCGGGGATTCTGGCCAACTTCGAACTTGTGCAGCGATCCGCGGGCCCTAATCATCGGTGGCCACCATGCGCTTTTCTTTTCTCCTTCCTTTTCCACCAGCGTTTTCCACGTAAGAGATGGCCAGCGTGGATAAGCTGCCCCTGCTTCCCTGCTGCTCCATCTAGGCAGCAGCTTGTCCAGTCGCCTCTTGTCGCATTGTTTTCACAGCTCTGACCACTGACAATTTGTTTGATAATAATTGCCAAAGCAGCTGTCTGACACATAGATTCCTCACGGCCGGATGCCCGAGATGGGATGCCGCGGATTCTGGGAAGCCAATTTGAGCCACTAAACTGCCATGTAACTGTCTAGCCCCGGAGAGCAGATTCCCAGGATTGTTTGGGCTGGGCCAGCCAACTCTTACGTGCTGGGAACAAATCTTTTAGATGTGCCTGTAATATTTTTTAAGCTAGCTCTTGCCAAAGTTATTTTCATAATATATGTAATATTAAATACTTTCTTTCCAGATTCCAAAGATCTTACCGCTCAAGACATGGGCGAGGAGAAACAACAGCAAATGGAGGATCAACTAGAGGATCAGCTGGAGGATTCCAGAGACCCTCAGGAGAACAACAATAACAATGATAACAACGGCGAAGAGGCTGACTTCGAAGAGCCAGAAGAGACTAATCCCAATCAGGATCAGAGTTTGGGGGAGACAGAAATGGAGCAAGACCACGACCTTCAGCAGGAGGAGCACAGTGACTTGGCTGCAACCAGTCCCAGCACTCCGCCCAGAAGTCCCTGCTCTCCTCAGCTAATTCCCAAACTTGAACAGCCTGCCACGCCCCCCTCAGAGGCGGAACCCTCCCCGTGTCCCTCGCCCTGTCCCACGCCCAAGTTCCCCAAGGTACGTTTGAATGCGCTCCTCGCATCAGACCCTGCCCTCAAGCCAGATGCCAAGGAGCTGACTTTGCCGGACTCACGTCTGTTGGCTCCGCCGCCACTCGTGAAGCCAGAAACCCAAGCTCAGTCAGAGGTTACGGAATCTCTGCTGAAGCCAGCCAGGTTCATGTGCCTGCCCTGTGGTATCGCCTTCAGTTCGCCATCAACTCTGGAAGCCCATCAAGCCTACTATTGCTCTCATAGGATTAAGGAAACAGAGGAGGCGGGCAGTGATAAGTCAGGAGCAGGAGGATCGGCAGTCGCGGGCGGAGAAGGAGCTGGCTTATCTAGCGGCTCCGCCGAACCACCAGCCAAAATGGCTAGGACAGGAAAGCAATACGGCTGCTCCCAGTGCTCCTACAGTGCGGATAAGAAAGTGTCTCTGAATCGCCACATGCGGATGCACCAGACATCGCCGGCGGCTCCGACACTTGCCAGTTTGCCAAGCCTGCTCCAGAACGGCTTAGCCCCGTCGGGAGTTACGCCCAGTTCGTTGGAGGACAGCCCTAGTCAAGTGAGTAAAGTGTTGAGGAGCCAGTCGCCCCTGCAGTCCAATAGTAATATTTATCAAATCCCCTCCAGCAGCAAACCGATCGCTACTGCAGCCACTGTGATATCCGGTTCAACAACATCAAGACCTATCGGGCGCACAAGCAGCACTACTGCAGTTCGCGGAGGCCGGAGGGACAGCTCACCCCGAAGCCAGACGCATCTCCTGGAGCAGGATCAGGGCCGGGTTCTGTAGTTGGACCTGGAGGAGTGTCTGCCCAGGCGACAGCGCCCGGAAAGCTAAGTCCGCTGGCCAGGAATAAGACACCTACTCCAGCAATGGTCGCTGTCGCGGCTGCAGCAGCGGCGGCGGCTGCCTCCCTCCAGGCTACACCCCACACGCATCCACCATTCTTGGCACTGCCCACCCACCCGATCATCATTGTGCCCTGCTCGCTGATCAGGGCGGCAAGCTTTATTCCAGGGCCACTGTAAGTTCTTAAAGAACCCGCTAACTAAGTTGCTCATTGTAACTACTTAAACTTTGAATCCTCAGGCCAACACCCAACTCCGGGATTGTGAATCCAGAGACCACCTGCTTCACAGTGGACAATGGAACGATCAAGCCACTGGCCACTGCGCTCATTGGCGCTTCTTTGGAGCCCGAACGGCCCTCAGCTCCCTCTTCAGCTGCTGAACCCACAGAACCCAAGAGCAGTCCACCTGAGCCCAAGCGAAAGGAGGCAGGAGGAAGTCGGTAAGTTAGTTTGAAACATCAGAAATACAATACATAAAACATGCCAAAAGACTGAACAAATCCCTGAATACCACGTAAATCTTCGTTTACTTTCTCCAGGGAATCTGCGCCATTAGATCTCTCGCTGCGTAGGTCCCCAATCTCCCTGAACTCACTAAGCCTGCGGCAGCGCCAACTGCGCAACGCCCTCTTAGACGTAGAGGAAGTACTTCTTGCCAGCGGAGGAACTGGCAAGGAGAGTGCGGAGACTCCGAGAGGAGGTGGAAGTGTGACTCCTGAGCAGATCGTGTGCGCCCCCTCTCTTCCGAGCAGTCCTTCAATGAGTCCGTCGCCGAAGCGACGAGCCATTAGCCCTCGCAGTTCCGGAGCTGGTAGTGCCTCCTCCATGTCACCACCCGGCCTCAATGTGGCTGTGCCCCACCTGCTAGACATGCGATCTATGCTGCCAGCGGACTTCGGACTCTCCGAATCGCTGTTGGCCAAAACCAATCCGGAACTAGCTCTCAAACTAGCAGCGGCAGCTGCAGCAGCTGCTGTGGCGGGCAGCAGTGGAGCGACACCCTTTCCGCCCTCTCCTCTTCCTGCCCAAGCGAGTGCCGGAAATCCTGGAGGCGCAGGATCAGCAGGCAGCCAGCAACCACAAATCTATGTGAAGAAAGGCGTCTCCAAGTGCATGGAATGCAATATTGTGTTTTGCAAGTATGAGAATTACTTGGCCCACAAACAGCACTATTGCTCGGCGAGAGGTCAAGAGGGCACAGGTGAGGTGGACATTAAGTCAGCGGTTTCTCCATCCAATCCCGGAGCTGCAGGATTGGGAGCTGGAGGCGCAGAAGCTGCTTCATCGGTGGAAACCACTCCTGTGGCTTATCAACAACTGATCTGCGCAGCCTGCGGGATAAAGTACACGTCCCTAGACAACCTGCGAGCCCACCAGAACTACTACTGCCCTAAGGGAGGAGCAGCTGCTGCCCCCGCCGCGACTGCCGCAGACCCAGGACAACTGGCCATGGCAAAGGAGAAGTGCGGAAAGTGTAAGACTCTGCACGAGGTTGGCCTGCCTTGTCCGCCGCCTGTCACAAATGCCCTCGCCGCCCCCACTACCAACTCCCAGCCTGCCTCCAATAGCCTTAACAAGTGTCCTGTGTGCGGAATAGTGAGTCCCACAGCGGCGCTGGCCAAGAAGCACATGGAGATGCACGGAACTGTGAAAGCATACCGCTGCAGCATCTGCCAGTACAAGGGCAATACTCTTCGAGGCATGCGCACCCACATTCGCACTCACTTCGACAAGAAGACCAGCGACGTTAACGAGGAGCACTACATGACCTGCATCTTCGAGGAGGAGGGTTCCACACTCGTCCAGGAGCTGGCTCCCTCATCAGGGCCATCTACCACCACTGGCCACGATTCCATGGAACATCCCTCACAGATCTTCAACTGCGATTACTGCAACTACGGCTCCACCTACAAGGGCAATGTGGTGCGTATTCCCTTATCTCGTAATATTGCCGATGAATTGAAAAACTGACTGTGGACCTTTACCTTTCAGCTGCGGCACATGAAGCTAATGCATCCGCATGTGGCCATCAACTCACCTTCCATTTCCCCGGATACCAGAGATCAGGAACCGGCCTTGAACACCACTCCTAATCAACACTCGAATTCCGATGGTTCCAATGGCGAGGCAACCAGGTAAGGTTGGGAGGATACTATCTACAATCGTATCACTACATGGGTTAGTTAGGTCTCAGGTAGACGAATGTCCAAATGCTGATTTTAAGAAAAGACAAATGCCTTTACTTTAGTGCCCAGACTTAAGAATTAATTACACTTCTTTGTCTTCCATAGCTTCCATATCAAATCGGAGCCCATGGATCCCCCGCCGACTCTAAGCTTGGTACACGAGAACAACAACTCGCCGATTGTCACGCCACATATCAAAGCTGAGCCAATGGAAGTCGGCTTGGATGTGGCGCCCGGTGGTCTGGTTCCGCCGATGACCTCTCCACTAGGGAACAGTAGCGTCGCCGCCGCAGCAGCCGCCGCCGCCGAGGTGATGAAGAAGTACTGCTCCACCTGCGACATATCCTTCAACTACGTGAAGACCTACCTGGCCCACAAGCAATTCTACTGCAAGAACAAGCCAAATCGCCCAGAGGCAAGCGATAGCCCAAGTCCGAATCACATGGGCGGCGGCGTTGCCGTGGGCCTGGGCATCGGGGGTATGGTCGGCGGACATGGCCAGCAGAAGAACAAGGAAAACATGCAGGAGGCCGCCATTTGAGAGAGCCAGCTGCAATGGGAGGCGCAGCGCAAGCAGCTGGAATGGTATTACACCTGCTTCTAAGCAGAAGACCGAACCTAATCGAATCCTAAGCATAGCCCCCATTAAAATGTACACTTTACAAACCGCAACCTGTAATCGACGACAGTATTCCCGGAGAATCTCCCTGTCGCTACCCTCCACTTCCAAACGCCACTTGGGGACTGACTCCTTCGACTTACCGATCGATAGCAGTAGATATATAGAACATACACCCATTCATACATATATAGTTAACGTAAATAAATATTTAGATTACCTAGCTATATGTAGACGCATACCCATGAAGTGGGAACCATGACATATAATGCATGCCAAAGCTTACCACTTAGACAGAAACTAAACCGAGGAGAAGAAACTACAAGTTTGCAATGGATTGCGGTGAAGAAGGAGGCGAAGTATTCCTATGTAGATCCATTATTATTATGTAAATGGCTCGCTGTTCCATGTATAAGGCGATTCTAACTGTGTAATTAAACTGAATACATTATTTATTAAGTGTGTGCGACAATAAAAGTAATTAATTTATTCAACAAAAATCAAGATATTCTTATATTTTTTAAGTCTAACGAATTTTTAAGTGTTGCCGGTTCAGCGCTAGCAAAACTTTTACTTCTTGCCAGACAAGCGAGGAAACAACTCACTATATTGCCAGATCGATAAAAAAATAACAATGCTAAAGCCAAGCGCTAAATAATCAGCTGATCTCCGGAAACCAGCTACTGGTTCATGTTCGCCTGGTACTTGAATTAAAGTTTGTCTACTAAAATCTACTTAAACTCATGGTGGAAATACTAAAGTTACCTACTTCCAATTTATGCTCTCCTGGTATTTAAAACCCAATAATACGCCAGCTTTGTATTTAAAAATATGTCCCTATAGCAAGCTGTTTTAGGAGATATACCAGGCGAACAGAACTTATAGAAAGTGAGTGCCAGTCATTGAAAGCGGACTTGTTGTGGAAATAACCGTTAGTTAAAAAAATAGCTCCGACCTATCAGCTGATCGTGTTGCCAGATCGCCAAAAAAGAAAAGCCGATTAAAGCAAGAGAAGCCACCAGATAGGGATAATTATAACTTCAAGTGGCCGTTTTTAGATATCTTAAAAATACTACAAGACTACAAAATAGAATTTAAAATTAAATAAATATGGAATTTTTCGGAAACGTACGTCTGCATCTACAGGTTTTAGTCGCCCTACTCAACTGGGTGCCCTTGAGACTTAATTCGATATCATTTTCATCACAAAACCGTTGCAGCACCCTAAGGGCCCAACATGCTTATACTGATACAACTAAAAATATACTTATAAAAACTATATATATATACACACAAATGGTACATCCAATAGATTGTAAATAATTTTCCAAAACAACGTGAAGAGAAAAAGAAAATCCTAAGTGAATCAGTATTCTCCCTACTAATTCACCAAGATCCAAGCTGGTGTTCAACTAGCTGCCACGTAGCCATTTTGGGTGTCTGTGCACCTTAGTATATTCAGACTTACAGAACTTATTTGATTTTATTCAGATGAAATACACAGAATAGCTGGTAACTAAGCGATTGCGATACAAGAATTAATCAGATGGTTTGTGTGCAGGTTCTTTCAACATTAGTCGACTTAGTAAAAGTAAATAGATGTGGAGAGCATTCACGAAAACGCTTACCGCCTAAATGTGTTTGTTAATGTCTATGTGGTATGCCAGTGGCCAGGACTTGGGGGATAGATTACTCGGTAGCCGCCATGGCGCGTGCCTGAGCACGTACACGCTTCTCGTACTCCAGCCGATTCTGACAATATATGGTGTAGGCCTCTGCCTGGGCCGGATCCTTGATGTTCGGCTCGTTTAGCAAGTCCTGGATGCCCAGCAGAATCTGTTTAATGGTGATGGCTGGGCGCCAGTCCTTCTCTTCGTCGAGAAGAGACAGGCAAACGGTGCCCGAGGGATAAACGTTCGGGTGGAATAGCGGCGGCTCGAACTTGCACTTGGGCGGCGAGGTAGGGTAATCGTCCTTGAAGATCATGCGCAGCTTATAGAGGCCGCCCTCCCATGGGGTGGACTTTTTGCCGGGAATGGCGCACTCCCAGATCATTAGATTGAGAGTACCATCAGGATTCTTGGCGGGACGGGCCACAAAGCCGAAAGGGTGATCCTTACGCCAGGCCTTGCGCTCCTCGCCCAACCGCGTAATTGCAATGCCGGACATACTCAGCACTAGAAATATCTACTTCCGGGCAAAAGGTATTTCGTGATCCTGATTTTCTTTAGGCAATTCCACTCCGCTTTTTTGCACGCGCGTCTGTCTGCAAATGTGTGTGTGTGTTGGTAATTGGCCTCCAAAGTCTTTTGTTGGCATTTGTCCTGCCAATATTGTGCGTACTTACGTTTTCACTCTAAAATCACCTCTAATGTGCCTTGAAAAAGCCTAGTTTGATCTAACCGCCGGCTTATTTTTACAAATTTTGCCAATTCTAGCGCAATTTTAGCAGAAGAGAACGCTTGTGCACGCAAATGGTCTAAATTTGCCCAGGCGAACGGTTCCACTATGTTTGTTATCGATACTTAGTAGAAGAGTCCACAAGCAATTACATTGAATCTAGTATATTAAAAATACCTAGATTGAAATGGATGTTTGTTAAATATAAATTTTTATTTTAAAAATATATTATTAACATTATAAATTAGTAGTCAAACATTCAGTTAAATCAGATATTTTAAATATATTTCTAACATCAACCTGAGTTTAGTTTTTTATAAATATTTTTTTATTAAACCACTGATTTTATAAGACTAAGCAAGTCTATAAAAAAAGTAGTGCTTATAAACTAAAATTCAACAATACATTTTTAATGAAAAACACATCATAGTCTTGGTGTTACGAAAATTATAATTTATTCGTATTTGAACTGTTTACATTATTATTGCATTAGTTTTTTGAAATGCAATGCAGTATTCGTAGTCAATCTTCAGTGGTTCCCTATTAAATCGGAGATCTTTCAATGGATTTATTAGGGGCTCAGTGCCGTACAAAAATTGGAAAATATTTTAGCATTTAAACTTTTTCTTCTTAAATATATGCCTCTTATTATGGAGAGCCACATAAATTAATAGAATTCTACATTTAAATTTGATTCCGTTAAAAAATCTGACAAATAATTATCTACAATTATAACCTAATCAAACTAAATAAGGTTGTTGTGCCAGGCCAAGGAACGTAACTAACGCAATAAGTGAATCGTCTTTTGTAGCAGTGTACCGTATAAGTTACGGAGTGTGGAGAGAGTGAAGCGATAACAAAGAGGAAGCTTGGCTAGCTGCAGAAGACAGTTTACGATGGAACGAATGGAGATGTTGTTTGAGGACGGTCCTCCTGGCCTTACTTGCCCTTCTTTGACTCCTTCTTTTTGCTGCTGGACGAGCTGGTGCCCTCTTCCTTTTCCTTCTTCTCCTTCTTTTCTGGCTTTTCCTCAGGATGATCTTCATAACTGAGGAAGAAAAAGGAATTTAGTTTATTTGATCATGGTGATAGAGGCTTCCCTTCGATTATGTTTAAAGGATACGCCAAACTGCATACTTACGCAAAAAGAATCTTCAGTTCGCCGCGGATGAGAGCCACTAGAAGCGGCGTGCCCATGCAGGCTGGTACCAGGTAAAGCAGAGCAGGCTGTGCGTGCTTAAATACGTGCATCACAAAGATTGTGGCCAAAAGACCCAGGAAGTAGGCGATCAGCGTAGAGTAGAAATAGATGCGAGTTTTTCGCTTCTTGCTGTCGTCGAAGCGGAGCAGCAGGGCAATGAATATGCCCGGAATGACAATGTCGCCAAGTCCCAGCATGGCGAAGTTGGAGGCGTGCAACCCGTTCTCGATCAAGTCCTGGGGGAACACTAGCTTGATAGGTGCCTCAAAGCTCTTGGCTACGGTGACCATTACGTTGGTGCCGAACACCCAGAAAATGTCGTAGAAGAACAAGCCGCTCAGTAAGATTACTCCGGTAACAAAGTTGTTCAAGTGCAGCATCTCAACGCCGTTGATGGCAAAGGCCAATCCGAACAAGTTGTTAGCGATCCAATGCTTCTTGAGCAAGTACCACACACCGATCACCGAAGAGATTACTAGGCAGACGATATCGTGCGTGGAGAACTTGTAATTTACAATGTCCTCCTTGTGCTTTCCCTCGCCCTTAGTGAAAAGGATATGGAATGGCACCTTGGGCACAGCGGCCGGCATCAGAGAGTTGATCACCGGACTGAGCAGGTGGGCCAATGCAATCACACCGAGCACGAAGAAATATCCCGTGAGCAGGTAGTTGATGTGTACCTTTTGGAATATCTTGAAAAACAGGTACAGACCGAAGAGAGCCGCCGAGGCGATCAGCGGGAAGTACATGGCATCCTTCTTGGTCATCGTATCGGCCTTCTCGCCCGTGGACTGCACGGAATCGAATGGGGAATGTGAAAGATTAATTAAAACCAAGTCTGAACAAGATTGCAGTCACATACCTTTTTCAGCTTATGCAGCTTCACGGAACGGATGGAGCCAAATATAATCGGCAGCATGGCCATTACCACAAGGCTGCTGTAGGCCACTGCCATGCCCTCCGGAGTCGAGGGCTTCTTCTCCCCAGGCGCCGACTCGTTTTTAGGTGCATTCACATTATCAATGATGCCCTTGATTACCTCTTTCACAGTTCCGATCACTTCTTCCGCCATTGTGTGGTGTCTAATCCAATGCTGTTTTGAGCTAAGCTAGGTACTTCCCGATGCTAAATCGCCGGTTTGCGGGGGTGAAAAATGAAATGACACGCAGCAGCACACGTCAACAATCTCTGCAGTGCGACCTCGCTGCACGAATGAAAACGAACTAAAAGAAACCACCCTTAAGACAAAACAATATACCGAAAATATACTAAAGACATTGAAGCCCACGTATCGCTGAAAATATACCAAAAAAAATTAATATATTTAAGTTCGCTTAGGTGGATTTCAAATATGTTTGTAACTTTAATTAAGTAGAATAGTTTTGTCATTTTGAAATTAGCTTTCCAACAATGGATTTTAAAATAAAAATCTAAATATTGATATTTAACTTTTTACCATTAAAAGTTAAATTTTTTAAAATCTATCCGAAATGTAATTTGACTTAAGTTAAATAAGGAATGTAATAAAAGAATACATACATACATATGGGCATATTTGTACAACATACATTCGTTTACAGATAAGGATATGCACTTATTATTTCCTTTAATGTTTTTATTTCCCTTAAAATAAATATTTAAAACAAGCGATATTTTTAAACCTCCCCAAGCTTAATATAATAACGGCTCCCACACAAAAATGAAATATGTGGGCTGTTATATTATCTCCGGCGGTGGCAGAGAAACGCCAGAGATATCGAAGCCTCGGCCATGTGCCAAACCGCGAACTGCGCTCAGTTCCCTTTCAGATTCCTAGAGGCAAGCATTGACTGCTGGTAAAAAACATAGTCCAACCCAATGATGAAGGCGACTCCCAAGATAAAGACACTGATTTCCGGTCCTGTTGTACTGCAAATTCTAATGGGGATGCTTATAGTTTTGGCTTCCGTACCAGGCGCCGTTTGTGAGTGTTTTTAGGTCCGATTTTGCCTAACTCACTGATTAGTCCGATTGTCTATTAGCTGATCCAGACACAAAGAACGGCAATGTCAAGGCCTCCGACCGGCTTCAAGCAGGGCTTTTCCTGAACTACGACAGCAATCTGCAGCCCCACTTCCAAGGAGCTCTCACAAACGTGGCTCTTGGAATAGTGATCAACTACATAGACATTGATGAGATGAACGGCAAACTGATCATTCACTGTTGGTTGAATATCGTAAGTCCAGTCCTTCCCCTTAAAAATATATATGTATTATATATATGTATGTATGTATGCAGCTGAGACAATAAGTTGACGAAAGATAAGTTTGTTTTTCCTTAAATTTGATAATTATTTCCTCCCTCTATTGAAATTTTATTTGTCATATTAATAATTTAAAAACATCGAACACACAATATTTTTGCGAATGACATATTTCGTACTAACCCACTTACTTACATATGTAATTCCTAGCGATGGAGCGATGAGCAGCGTACGTGGCAACCATCGGAATATGACAATATCACAGAAATCACCGTAAGGGCCAGCGAGGTATGGACACCCCAGATAACGCTTTTCAACGGAGACGATAGTGGACTTTTGGCGGATACCCAGGTGACCCTTAGCCATGATGGTCACTTTCGACGGATGGCTCCAGCTTTGTACACGGCCTACTGCGACCTCAACATGGTGGACTGGCCACATGACAAGCAGACTTGTAAGCTAAAGATCGGCTCCTGGGGCTTAAAAATCATTCTTCCGGATAACAGTACCGCTAAGGGTACATCTCTTGACCGTGACGACCTGGTCCAATCGCCTGAGTGGGAGATCGTGGACTCCAGAGCTAAGTTTGTGAGTCTGGACTACTACGGATACATGGAATACACCCTGACTGCTAAGCGCCGATCATCCATGTACACTGCTGTAATCTACACGCCCGCTTCCTGTATCGTCATCCTAGCTCTGTCCGCCTTTTGGCTGCCACCACATATGGGCGGAGAGAAAATTATGATCAACGGACTACTCATTATTGTGATCGCCGCTTTCCTGATGTACTTTGCCCAACTGATGCCCATTCTTTCTAGTAATACGCCACTTGTCGGTGAGTTCTCTCTTCTAAGATGGACTATTTCAATACTTACCACCAATTTTATTATTTATACTCAAAATTTTGGACAGTATTAGATGTAATAAATTTAAAACTAATATTTAAAATATTCATATATTAAACCGATCCTCTTTATTCTTCCAGTGATTTTCTATAGCACAAGCCTGTTGTTTTTGACTGTGTCCACCGTAATTGAGGTTTCAGTACTGTACCTGGCCACCGCCAAACACAAGAGGCGCTTGCCGGAGGTGCTAAGAAAACTGCTTCATGGAAAGTTGGGCACCTGGCTGCTTCTCTCTCAGTTCAGCACCACCGGTGAGCAGCAAAGGGATCAAACTAAGGAGTTGGGCGAGCACCTATACGAAGATCCCCAAGATCATGACGTGACCAGCCCGCTGGAAATAAATCCCACCGAAGTTCCAGGCTATAAGGCTAACCAGTTTGACTGGGCGTTGCTAGCTACCGCCGTGGACCGCATATTCTTTTTGGCATTCAGCCTGTCTTTTCTGATCCTGGCCATAAGATGTGTTATCTAGGACTTGTTGTGAATTAAACTTAATGCAGTCCAACCTTGAGGTCGTCACCAACTATATTTAGTATTCCAGAAGCACCAAACGAAGTTAGACAAAACCTAGGTGCATTCAAAGTTACTTTTGCTTTTACGATGTCTTATATTTACTCTGTGTGCGAACTTAGAATTATTTAATGATGAGACCCCGTTTGGAATAAAGGACCTCTGCCGAATGATTGCTTACAACTAGAAGCTAATAACAGGCTAAGTAACAAATTGGCTCTCGTTTCGGAGTATTGCTCTGCGATGCTTTAGGTTATCACAATTCCTCAATTAACCCAAAGTAGCTGGAATTATGCGAAATCACCTTTTTACGGTCAAAGCTCTGACCCTCGATGGGTGGTTGGTGCCTGGAACGATGGGCGCTCAGCTCTCTTTGCGCAGTGGGTGGTCCCTGCGCATCCTTATGCCCCATCGGAACTTACAGCCCTGGCAACAAATTGGGGTTGATGCGGGCTCAATTAAATGCATTTGTGGTGGGAGTGCCCTGCTCATAGTTTCCCGCAGTTGAGGAAGTCCTGGCCGGGTCTCCGGCTGCTATCCCACCTTGGAATGAAGCAGTAAAATTCGAAGTAGAGGCGGAGGAAGAGGCAGCCGCCTGACCGGGTGAAGCTTGCGAAGAGGCCGTCGAGGACGAGGGGAATCCAACGCTAGAGCTCGTGGAGGCGGGAGACGTGTGGTGCGGGTGTAAGAAATGTGGCTGTCCCAGCTGGTGGTGCGAATGCTGGTGGTGGTGGTGCAGTGGCGGAGGATGGCGGGCCAACTGCATCGGCCCTCCTCCGTGGTGGTTGTAGGAACCTAGCATACTGGAGGCCGGATCTCCTCCCTGGGCCTGAGCCTGGCAAGCGGCCATCAGTCCGTGGAAGTCGAACTTGTAGGCATACCGCTTCCCATGCACTTTGGTCATGATGTTCTTGTCGTAGTAATATCTGTAAGTAGGGGAATTAAATCTCATAGAATCTTTACTGACTAACCCTCGTTAATTAATTTTATGTATTGTGATATGAATTCTTTTGAAGATGGATAAATGTATCATGTGGTTGGTGAGAATGCTTTTTATTGCAAGAGATTATAAATTAATTTGTTAATACAGAAAAAAATTATTTTTTAACAAATCACAGGCATTTTTTAGGGTAAGCAAAGTGCATGAGAACGAGGACTTACCTGAGAGCCCGGCTCAGCTTGTCGTAGTTCATGTTGGGCTTGGCCTTGCGTTCACCCCACCGTCTGGCCACCTCATCCGGGTCGATGAGCCGGAACTCGCCCGATTGGCCCTCCCAGCTGATGGCGTTGGCGTTAGACGAATCAGCGAGCAGCTCCAGAAGAAATTGCCACAGTTGTATCTGGCCCCCGGAACCTTGGGCAACCAATCGGTGCGAGGCAGCGTTCAGCAGCTGATACGGATCTGAAAGAGAGGCGGTGGATGGGATGGGGCATTAGTGGCGAATACTCGTATACAGATACAGATACATTGGCCAAAGAGATACCAAGATATGAGGGCAGAGAGAGCGAGCGAGAGGAGAGAGTCGCAAATAAAAGCCAACCCAGCCAAACGAGATTTTATGGTGGGGGACGACGACGTGGCAAGAGTGCCAAGTGGAACTGAAAGGCATAAGCTCGCGCGGATTCACAGAAAATCAACCGCAAACAGGCATAAATCCTGGATCACACAGAGAAAAACAGGAATGAAATCAAAATGTCAAGAAAGTTCTTACTGAATGTGTAACTTTGATTCTTTTTACATCATTTTCTTCGTTTATTTGAGTACAATAATTTGCGTATTTATGTAAAAATTATGATTTTAAGAATGCTAAATACAAATTTACAAAAAAATTAGGTAAAAATTATGAATTATGATTTTAAGAATGCTAAATACAAATTTACAAAAAAATATGTCTTTTGTCAATGACAATAACGACGTATTATTAAAAAAAATAATTTAAAGTCCTTGTAAAGCAATGCAACAATGAATAAAAATCTTCAGGTTTAAAAGTAATTTTAAATATACATTTTCTTGATCATTGGCCATGGGGATATTCCCACATCCCGTAGTCTGTGCACCTCTACAGGGAAAATCCCCTCAAAGTGCCGCTGCAAAAGCACGAAAGTGCCATAACCACGGTGACTCATCCGCTGATCAAGCAATGCCGCGGCTAAAAGACACAATTCTCACTTGTAGACTATAGCAGACCGTTGGACCCACCAACCATCTCGAGCCCATTCATATTTCTAGGCGCAACGCTCGCCGGAAATACCAGAGATCGAGTGGCTGCCATTGAGAAATTCATTCACACAAATCTCGTCGATTTTTGGCCTGTCTCAGCGGAAATTCTTATGATTTCTCGGCCATATATACGTCTCTCTTACCATTGAAGATCATCGAGGTGTGGGGATGTTGGTGGTGCTGATGGTGGTGGTGGTAGTGGTGGTGCACGGCACCGTGGTGCGGATGGGGATGCTGGCCGACTGGCGGCGCCGGCTGCATCCGGAGGCCAAATCGCCGGTTGAAGTCCTCCGAAAGACGCCACATGACGCCCACATCCACACTGACGCTCATGGTGGGTTTTTCAAAATCGTTTTTCAGAATTTTTAAATGCCGACGGATGTTAAATAATCCACTGAGTGTTTCTTATTTATTTTTAAAACAATTTTTTTAATGGAAGTTTAGCAAAAGTCATGTTATTAATATATTAAAAGGTTCATTTACTTTAAAACATTTTCGTCATGAAAGTTTTTGTCATTTAAGATATCTTGAAATTTAGCATCACTTTGTGTTCATAACTTTTTTTTCGAGAGCGTGTGCACCGTTTAGGACGAGGGCCATTTGGCAACTGAATTTTCATCCACGAGCGCTGAGCGGATTCCACTCCTTATCACCAGACGTACGCCTGACGTCTTGGCCGAGCATCCGCGGAGCCTGCGAAGCTGGGGAACGATTGCGACAACGCTTACGGCTCACCTGCGCAGCTGGTGGTAAATGCTGCTTCGGCATTTGCCGGAGGAGTCACAAAAGTCAGAGGCCACGTGCAGCCACTCTACTACCACCCACTCCACCCACCAGCAAGCACAAAATAAACAACTACTTCTTTTTCCAGGGCTTCGACATTAAAATACCCAGTACGAATCGAAAGATCAGAATATAAGTTTAAAAGATATCGTGGGAGAAGTTGCTTGAGAAATATTACAGACGCTTTCTTTTTATAAATTACAAATATAATATATAACTACAGATATAAAGGTGGTACCTACATGTGTATTTAAAAAATGGAAAGTGGCTCGTTATCAACCATGAAATACTATATGACCTGTATATATTTTATTAAAGGGGCGGTAAAAAGGGGAGGTGACTCAGACATTGGAACAACAACTGTAGCCCACAACAAATGTAATCTGCGTGACGGCGACAACGCGTAATCCTCGTTGGCATAAAAAACAAATCAATTAAATCGACGTCGCCTGCTCCCGGGATCAAGTCAGCTATATGGCTACGTTGCCCACCCACCAACATATGCCATACCCAAATCAGGAGTCTTTCCTACTCTATTCAGTAGCTCTTCCTGCCACAGGAAGGATGCGACGAATGAATATTTTCCTGTGCCCAGACGTTGACCACCCGCAGAGCCGTAGCCAATGACATACCACCCAACCCACAACCACCCATCGCCCCATAGTAGCTCGACTGAAACTTGACTCGGCGACTTTTGTCGCTTGCGTGGGATTATTTTGATTTTATTATTAGATGCCACATCCTGAGAGAAATTATCATATTTACATCGTTTATTATTAAGTTCATCACTTGACGCGACCGCCCGCTAAGCCTCGCTCCCTCCGCTATCATCGTCAGTTAATAACTGGAAAAGTGTTGCATACTTTGCTGCTGTCGCGCAGAGATTTTCCCAAGCGATTTACGTTTGCGGAGTCAAAAAGTTTGCGAAGTCAAGGAAAATGTAATTAAAAGGCTTTTCGACGGCCCACACCTTTTGCCACTTTTCTTCCTTATCAACACATTAAATAAGGGGCGAATCTAGGGGGCGGAGTGTGGGAAAAACAATCAATGAACACATAAGTAACGGCTCTATCAGCCAGCCAACATCTTAATCAGTTGCCATTTGGCTGCCGGCGGAGGTCAAAAGGATTCAATTGATGCCTGACCACAAAGGATTCGAGAGTCTGAGAATCGCACCACTGGGAATAGCACGTGAACCCAATTACCAAGCAGTTCAATCTCTGGACAACGACTCAGATTTATGAGGTCCGAGATAAGTTCCGTTGTTTAGCCACTATTTCTAAAAGGTGAGAAAAATATTGGTCTGAACTTCAAACTTCGAACTCTCAACATGGTCACAAAAACTGTATCTTTTCGAGTATTAAAAAAAAGGGTCAAAATGCAAAAATAATAATAATTAATAATAGGAATTTTTTAAATTACGACAAGGCTTACAAATCTGACAAACGAGCCCCAGAATAGATCCCTAACCCTTGCACTCCGAAAAGGCAATGAAAACTTTCAAAAATACTCACTTGGTTCGTTGTCGTTGAGCATTGGACTAGTCTCTCGTCCAGTGGCGTGGTAGAGGCTCAGCGCGAAGTGCTTGGACAAGAGCATGCCGCCTCGTCTAGATCCTGCACAGACCCAGAAGTCCGCGCGAGTCAGCTCGCACAGTTCCTGGGCGTCCTTGGGAAACCTGTCTACATCCGGTTCCGGATCCAGTTTAAATTTTTGCGTGGCCCACTTTACCCAACAGGCAATGTCCGCTGTAGTCCAGGCGTGCGGGTCAACAGGCACTTCCACCGGCGAGATAGTCCGATTGGAATCGTTGGAGCCTCTTCGAGATGACGGAGGCGGGTGGGCGGAAGATGAGGTAAGAGAAGTTTGTATGTCCAGGGGGAGAGCCACTGGCAAGTTGAAGGCGGGCAATTCGGCTTGACTTCTACAACTACTACTGCTGTGAGACGACCCGGAGTCCGAGTCTGTTGAGGAATCCGAAGACTCACTGGAGTCACTAGTGGAACTGCTGCTGCAGCGCCTTCTGCTTCTCCTCCTGCTGGGAGAGCTTTCCTTCTCAGCCTCCGGATCTGAACCCACTTTCTTCTTCGCTTCCAGTTGTGCCTCGCTTCCAGATCCGATACTTTTTTGCCGGACATCCTGATGCATGGCATTAATTGGCCTTTTCTGGCACCAAACACTCTGAGCCGTATAAATGTGGAGTGAAATTTGGTTATGGCTCTGGTGACTATTCTGCAGAATTGCCATTCAATTTTCGTTAAATTCTTTATTTTATTGTTAGTCACTGCGAAATAACCATCACCTCCAGGGTTTTGGTAACTTTTTATTATCACTTAGCTTTGATATAATATTCATCAGTTTGCTTTTTGGTTTTGCACAATTTACTTTATTATGAAGTTTGCTTTGGTAGATTATTACATAAATCAACTTTTTAAAATTAAAAGCCACACTGTTGTTAGTGACTTTCTAGAAGGACTTTAACCGGTAATAAGGTGAAAACCGAATACATGATTTTTGGGAACTGTTTGCACGTTAAGTCAACACAATTACATTTCCCTCCGTTTTAATCATGATTTTCTGGGAATTACACTTCAGTATTATTGCATTTATTAGTCGCCTGCAACCGGTTGATCGTGGAAAACGAAACGGATTTAGGATGCGGGTCCGCCTGGCTGGATGATTCACCGGGCGAGGGTATTTCACCTGCTGATCAAACAAGTGGAGTCAGCTGCAGGCTTTCCACGTGCCGTAAATCGCGGAAATCTTTCGCGGAAAGTTAGCGATAGAAAACTTTTAATAACCGTTATTTCATTGACCGATTACAGAACCTCCGAACGGGTTAAAAGTACTACCGTAGATCACTCCAGATCGGAGATCTTTGCTCGATTGCGAGCGTCCGAACCAATTGGCGGGTGACGAACTAATGATCACAACCGCCGTGCTGTGATAAAGCCATGACGAAATCGCGGACTGCAAGCTTTTGCGCTCTCTCACAGATTCGGCTGCCCCAATGGCACATGGTGTTCGGGACCAGTTAGCCTCTCTCTTTAAGAGCTTTTTGCTCTCCGAAGTGCTCCGCTTATCTACTTGGCAAATAACAACCTTAAGCATGACGTCGTGGAACTGGCGTAGTTCGAACTTCGAATGAGTCACTCGTCCACAGAGCACACAAGAGTTTGATCGCTGGGAAGCCGATGGTGTTCCCCAGGCGTTACGTGGACCACAGGGGGGTGGCTCGGGTCGGGTGTAAGGCCGTTTGGCGGCCAACGAAAATTCATTCATCGATTCCCCTCCTGCTACGAATTGTTTTTCTTGCTTTTGCTCCGTCATTTTTCTGGGAAATCAGCCATGAGTCGTTAGTTGTCTGTGGTCCATGCCTACTTGAGTATATCTGTGTACAACAGTATCTATGCATAGCTATGTATTGTTTGTAAGTAAGTATACTAACATACATACATACATTTGTATGTCGATACAAATACATACATATATTTGGCAACAGGTCGCCTTACTTAAATCACGCAGAGAAAGTGATCGTTAGTATGCATTGCCTTTATAAACTCAAAAATGACAAATATTTAAACAAGACCTAATCTTCTTATTAAAACAATTTTAAATTGTAGCTGTCATAGACTGTCTTATATTGATTGCATTTATTTAAATTGTTTGCCATATATGGATATTTATTTATTTTTGGATCAAACAATTATAAAATCGCTTGCTTATTACGGTGACGTTTTTCAATTTAGTTCATATCATTTTGCGATTGCTCTTTCGGCCTGTTTGAGCTTCGCGGACTTCCTGGAAACGCTTCTGATTTCATAGCTGAGGACGCATTTGGGCAAGTGATTCATGCCGCTCCGACGGCCCGCTCTCTTTCTCTTTTCCGCTGGCGCCGGCAGAACCGGCGATCCAAATCGATATCGCTGTTTATATTTGTTTTGATGTGACGTCCGACTCTCAGACCCACTGTATGTTTTTGTGCCGAAAGCTTTTACTAGGTCGCGTATGTCGTAAAGTTCATTCATAAAATGCCGAATATGCAAATGGGCTTGAAGGGTTGCTGTAAGCAAGTATTTTCGTATAAGTTTACTTATAGGAGCAACTTAGACAAATGTTTGTACTCAAATAATCATTAAAGTGATTCTTAGATTCTTTGAAGCAGGGGACTTTGGCTTGTCTAGCAACATCAGCTCAAGAGTAGATGGGATTTTACGGTTGAAATATGATATAATTATTTATCATTTTTATAAGGTTTACATTTTACACTCGCTGTGGAATAAACATGGCCGTGACTAGCTCTGCATTGCCCATACATTGAATCATCTAATGCAGCTCTTCGGTGATCTCCTCGTCATCGGCCTCGTCATCATCACTTGTCGTCATAGCTGATGTGCTGCTCATTCCAGTTGCCGCAGTACCGCTTGTGGAGGCGGTTAAATGCCGTCCCGAATTCCAAATGAGATCAAAATCCAAGTCACACTCCTGCGCGATTTTGTGAACAATTCCACGATCCAATAGTCCTGAGGCACTCCAAGAGTTGTCTTTCACGGCAAGTTCTTTTAAGGCCTTTCCCGCCCCAGAATAGTCCTTGGCGTAGACCAGGGCTCGAACCAACATGGACAGGATGTGTGCGTGGCGAATAGGTGGTAACTCTGGCTTGACTAAATATAATAAAGAAAAAAAAAGGAAATAAGGAAACTAGAAAATATATACTGTAAGGCAGGGACTTACTGAGCATGCTGCGGCAGGATCCAATGACCAATTGGTGATCGCCTTCTCGCAAAGCCTGCTGGATTTCTAGGATCGCCTTGACATCTGCTACCGTCCGCTGCAGATTGTTGTATACGTGCTGGGCATGGCTGAGCTTCTCCAAACATTTTGATGCTTCCTGCATGGCGGTTAGGGCCTTGCCGTAGTCCTGGAACTCCTCAATCTCTATCTGAGCGCAGATGGCATAGAAGTTAGCCAGGGAATCAAAGGCCTGGCCCTTGGTATAAAAACTGACTATATGCTTGAGGACCTGGGCATCTGATTGCCAATCCAACGCTTGGAGATAGTTCGCAGCCATGATGTACACCTCACGTTGCCTGGACATATTAGCAAAGAAAATAATTTTGTCCGTATTGCCCGATTTCAAAAGACTCTTCATAGCCCTAATTTTGTCTCCAGCCTGGGTGAACTTTTTAGTAGCACTGTGGTAGTCACCCTGTTGCTGAAGGAGCTCACCCAACTGGACCAAAATGTGGACTCGAGTAGACTCCTCAAACTCTCCTTTCTCCGGTGTGAGCATCTCAGAGAGTTCTTCCGTTATGGGAACCCCCTTATCCAAACATATACCCAAAGCTCGTTCTAGGTGTCTGGTCTTGGCAAGCAGGTGCACAGCCTTTTGGAATTGCTCAATGCTGCAGAAGAAATCTGCACAGCGGTTGATCAATTCAGCATCCGATTCGGGCACGAGATCGGAAGCAATTATCTCCAGGATCTCCGGCTGCTGAGATTCAAAGGCCATCTCAAGGGCTTTATGAAGCATCCCAGCACGGTGATAAAGTTCCACCGCATGCTTAAAGTTACCGCACTCTTCAAAATAAGCAGCAGCAATGGCCTTATCTCTCTGCCTTGATGAGCTGGCCACTGTCCATAGCTCTTCCTGAAAGTCGTTCTCCTTGCAGATGCGGATCGCATTGCTAAAGGTCTGGGCACGCGTAAAGAACATGATCGCCTCCTGGAACTTGCCGACGTTCTCGTAGTGCCTCGCTAAGTGATAGCAGGCCGCTCTATCTCCTGACTGCCTGGCTATGGCGTCTGCCTTAGAGATCTTTCCTAGATAGCAAAGGATCTTAACCTGGAAAGAAACAAGGGATCAGGCAACCGTGTAATATTTAAAGCTCTTATAATTTACCTGTGAGAACCAATCTTCCGCTTTGTGGTAAACAGCCAAAGCAGCATCCATGTCTCCTGAGCTCTCAATATACTGTCCCCACCATTTAAGCAGCTTAGGATCACTGGTAGTCTGGATGTAGCGCTTCATGGCCACTGGATTCTCCAATAGCAGCTGCGTTATGTTTTGCGCAGGATTCTGCGTCCTTTCGAAGTATTCCAGAGCACCCTTGATGTCACCCTTCTCTCGCAACTCCTGGGCCTTCTGGTAGTAAGTGTGCTTTAAATGAATTCGATCCTCTGTTTCGGCCAATTGCAGTGCCTCGTCTAACTGACCTATAGACTGGAGTAGTCTGTTGAGCAAATCGAAACGCTTGCATCGACGATAAAGGTCCTTGGCTTCCTCAATCATACCGAGTTCGATGGCCAAAACAGCGACCTTGGCTTCAGTTTCGAGGTCATCGTCTTCAATGGCTTGCCGTAAAGCACGAACGGAGCGGGCTTGCTCTAAATGTCCCATACACACTTTAGCCACATCTAAGCGGTTTGTGTGCACACACATCTTTGCCAGATTGGTCCAGATCACTTTGGATTGTATCGAGCGAATGCTACGATAAGCCAGATCCATATTTCCTTCTGCAACGTAAAGACTGAAATTGAGGACTTGTTTCCTTGTAGTGGGGTTGCATTGCTGTAGATCCACGAAATCTTGAAGCGGTTGCTCTTCCACTGCATTAATCTTCAGCCGTATCACGTTGGGCACACAAAGGTTTAGTAATAGAGAGCCTGGGCTCATGGGTTGAGTTTCAAGAATGTTGAGGCAACCTTTCTCGGAATAAAATAATAGCAATATTTTTGACTGAACAAAATGACTGGGTTGAGGAGAGTTTTTCTGAAGCAGAGTTTTCTGCATCATAGACTTGACCTCCACAGCCACGAGTCGAGGTTCATCTGCATCCCAAAAAATTCGAACTGGCAAGCTTGATGAAATTATTTCCTTCTTAGAGCCAGAATCTTGCTTAACTAAGCCATATTCAAAAAGATTATTACGCTCAAAGTCCCAGCAGAATAAAGTCGAAATTGGGGTAAAACTTCTGCTGGCTATCACCATGGCCAGATGGCTTCCCAAGCTGTTGCATTTGACCAGGATGAACTCCCCGAAATCATCAAAGATGTCATGGCCAGATTTGCTGGGAAAAGAAGTTTGGGATCATGCCTTGAAACATCGTATGCTTTCACGTAACCATTCATTGTAAACACTGAGAGATAGCAGCCACTCAAATCCATGCCGATGATTTTCCCTTCAATATCGGTAGCTTGTATTCGGTGGAGAACGACGCCTCCCACGGAGTAGACCATGATATCACTGCTTGCCAGGCAGAATATGTTCTGGTTATACAGATTCAAGGATAAACATTCTGCAGAAAAGGTCTGCAGAAGCTTAACACTTAAATTAGTTGCTGTTGATGCCGTTGTTGGCGGAGCACCCTCCACAGTCTCTAGAATCACATCAAACTCATCCAAACTCTTCTCCACTTTCTGCAGACTGTATGATGATATGCTTCTGCCATTACTCATCACAAGACTCAGTTCGTTTAAAGCCATGGCAGTCACAGCGAATTCCGATTGAACTATGGTCTCCCGACCGCTGCAGTGCGACAACTGTACAGATTTAGCAGACCTCTGAACTGCCCACAGTTCTCGGGTATGTACGGCCAGCAGAGGTTGCTCTTTGAGCATATAAACATTGGACATACAATTCACCAGCATGCAGGGTTTAGCGAGCTCGTTGAATCCCCACTCGCAACTCCGGATGGCTCCCCTTACATAAGATATGTTGGTCAACTGCCAGGCATCTTCAGGGGCACCTACTAATCTGCTGCCACTCCTCTTCCAGGTAAATAGATTTCCCTGGGAGGTTCCTGCGCACAGAGTTTGACCCGTAGCGCTATAAGATAAGCAGGTGAAAACTTCTCCATTGATTTGACCGAACTTTGGTGTTTTGCGGGGCACACTGGTGCTTTCGCTGCTGTCATGACTAAAGAACTGGTTAGACGAGGACACTGTGGCATTACTCAAACTGGCCAAGGATGAACCTAGCTGGTTGCAGCTGGGGAGATCCATTTTTAGAATGTAATTGTCACTCCTTTCGATGTCCCAAATCCGTACAAAAAGATCGCCTAAAGAAATTATGTATATAAATATTTGACTAAAGCTCATTTTTAGTTGGGTTTTAATATACAACCTGTTATGATGGCCAGAGAGTTTCCAGACCAGGCGATTCCTCCCTGCCGGCCTCCTCCACGGCCGCTCATCTTTACGCGATCCAGTTCAGTTAGAATACCCGTGGATTCAACCAAGAAGAGAGTGACGGTCAAGTCCTCCATCAGACAAATTACTGCATCCCTAGAAATTAATAAAGTTCAAATATGGAACAAATCTACGATCTAAAGATCGATTTACTTTTTGGGGTGCCACAACATCTGGACAATGGGTGGTAGAGAGCCGCACTTCATCACCTCGACGCAGGCGCCCCCTTGGTTGATGTAGTACACCACTCCTCCTTGGGTGCAGGCGTAAAAGCAGTGGTTGTCCCTGACTCCTGAGTGTGTCATGCTGCGGGCTGCAGTACGCGGCCTCCAATTGGTTAGGGTGTCCAAGGCATTTTCATCTCCGGCCACCGCTGCTTTAGCAAGACTGGCCATCTCCTCACGCACTTCACTCTCCACCGTTCGACGGAAGCAGATAAGTAGTAGCACCTCTCGCAGATCGTGAGAGAACATGGTTAAGAATTGGTACTGACCATCGCAACGCCATCCGGTAACCAACCCCATAGCATCCGCAGTAACCATTCGTCCGCCTTGTTCGCTAAACTGCAACAGGACAATGGCAGCCTTGTGCGGTGCGTTTACGCTGGCGAACTCCCTATGACCGGCAAACCACACGTGGATGTCCCCGTGCTCCCAGCCGCTCGCTAGGAGCGCTTTCTCTGGATGCCAGCATAATGCCGTTGCCTGGGAAGTGGCGTGCACCGGATAAGTTACATCCCGCTGCGGCTCACCCTGCAAAACGAGGTACCAGATATGTATGTATATGTGTGAATCCATTAAGGAAAGGACAGTGAAAAATAACTACTCACAGTATCCGCGAAAATTGTCACAGAACCTCCCCTTTCGGGACTAAATGAGGCTACTGCAAAGAGTGGCTCACTGGGATGCCAACTACTAATGGTGCTCACTGCATCCGAGTCCAGGAACTCAATTTTCGTGTCAAAATACAGAGTCATCTTGATTATACCCTAAATGCAGCTATGTTTTTCTTACAAGAACCAAAACACAGTAGGTTTGTTTGTATAGCAACGGTTGTCATGGTTGCTCCAATCTAATACATGCCGGCATTTGATGTGCGACACCTAAAATATAATACAATATGTACATATATTTGAATGTTGATGTACGCCGACAGTTATCTTTCTTGGATTTAAGGATCAATATAAGGAGAGTATGATATGAATAAATATTACAAATCTGCACTTCAAACTTACATTTTTCATAGCTTGTCCACAAAAAATGTTTTCTTAATTTTCTGCAGAATTGACTTTGATATGAAATGAATAAATTCAAAGAAAACAATAGTCCAATCTTATTTATTACATCAAACTACAATTGATTGATAAGCAATTTCTATCCTCTTCAAAGCATGTGATTTCCACCTCTTGCAGTATTTCCGTCGCGTTTAATATATGTATATGTACATACCAGTTAAGTATTTGGTCTTTAGCTATTTTTGTATATTTACTGGATCTCAATTTTATAATTTTTTTATCCTCACAATTTTTAGCTTGAAAAAAGTCAAAAGGTTACCTCTGAAGCTTACCCACACAATCAGCCGTTACGTATTCGCCTCGTTAACACGCAATACTCATGCATTCCAATGAAATCACCGGCAAACAAAACGGAGAAAACAGAACGTTAGTTGATATTGCGACTCATTTGCAGTGCGAACTTCGAAAATGGCTGATCGTCCGTGTGCTGGAAACCTTCTCCGTATCGCAGGAGCCATAATCCTGCCTAATCTAGGCGGGATCTACAACGGCAGGCTAACTAGACAGCACATTCAAAACTGGTATGCCAATCTTAAGTTCCCATCTTTCAAGCCGCCCAACTGGGTGTTTGCGCCGGTGTGGACATCCCTGTATGCCGGAATGGGTTACGGATCCTATCTGGTGTGGCGGGATGGCGGAGGACTTGCCGGGGAGGAAGCCAGGCTACCCTTAATAGCCTACGGAACCCAGCTGGCATTGAACTGGGCTTGGTCGCCGATCTTTTTCGGCCAGCACAACATTAAGGGAGTAAGTAATAGTTTTATCACTATCACTGGGTTTTATATCTAATTCGTGTCATCCATCAGGGGCTTATTGACATAGTCGCACTTTCGGCGTGCGCTGGAGCGTGCGGAGTTCTTTTTTACCGGGTCAACAAGGTCGCCGGTTTGCTCTTTGTACCCTACGTCGCCTGGCTGGGATTTGCCACTGCACTAAATTACGCCATCTGGAAACTTAATCCGGAAAAGGAACCAGCCCAGGAGGACGAGAAACCCTCTGGTAGTCACGGCAAGGCCAATTAAGCACAGGATAAGTTTTAAGTTTCTTTCATATTTTGTATGTTTCAATATATCGAACCAGGGATGGCTAAGTTGGATATGATATCGATAAATAGTGCCTCAAAGTGAGCGGTAAATTTAAAATATGTTATCACCAACTTAAGGATCCTACATTATATGTTAATGGTTTCTCAGAGGAGTGTTCGATCAAACCAGAAGTTCAATTACGTAAACGCTTAGTGATTCTAAGCAGTAAATTTAATGTTTTTATAAAATAAACCATTATATCTTAATAGTATTCAGGATCTTAAATAAAAATGATAAAAAATGAAATAATAAAATCCTTATCCTTGTACACTATTTCACTGGAGACGTAATTGTTTTTTAAATTAAAATTTTATTTAAAAATGAAATTAGGAAATTATCAAAAAATGTGTCAGTACCAGGCATTAATAGAGATTACCAAATCGAAAACAGAGTCTGAAAATGCGAAATAGTTTAAAATGCAAGGGAGCCGGATTGAAGAAGAGAGGTTTAATTGGAGCCTCCAGGGGCAGAAGGGATATTAGGAGGGGTTGAGCCCTTAGGAGAGGATGCTTTTGGAGAGCCGGTTGCCTTCGGAGATGGTGTGGCCTTCGGAGAGTTGGCCGCTGGCTTCTGCTGCCCTCCAGTTGATTGGCCTCCTGATTGCTTGGGAGGAGAGGCTTTGCTTGCTGCTTTTCCCTGCTGTTGCTGCTGATTTGGCTGGTTGGAAGCTTTTGGAGATGCGGACGCCGGTTTCCCTGTTGCCTGACCTGGCTTTGGAGCAACTGTTGGTTTAGTATTGGCATTGGGATTTGTCTGCTTCTGCTGGGGCTTGTTTCCCCCTGCTGCACTTGCTCCTCCTGGTGGCTGCTTCTGCGCCTGCTGAGGCTTGCTAGCTGGTTGCTGCTGCTTTGGCTTTTGCCCTACCTCTTGTTTCTTCAAATTAGCTTGAGGAACCTGCTTCGGAGACGGAGTAATTGGAGGAGAGCCTGCGGCGGGAGATGGTGGGGTCACTGCCGTTGCAGTTGGCGGCGCCGAAGTGGGAGTCGACGGTGGAGTACTGGGGCCCATTGGGGATGGAGCAACTGGAGATGGCGCCTCTGCAGGAGCTGCAGCTGGTGGAGGTGTCTCCTTCTTGGCAGCAAGTTTTGCATCTACAATTGACTTCGCCGCCTGCGTTGGTGTTGCTTGATCCTGAGCTTTAAGTGGTGCCTGTGAAATCGGAGCCGGATTTTTGATAGTTTCTGGAGCTAAAGTTTTCTCGATATCGGCTGGTGGTGTAATCTGTTTAGCTGGTGTGGGAGTACCTTGTTTTGGTTTCTCTGTTGTATTTTGTGGGGGAGGTGCACCATTAGGTGGAGAAGGTTGTTTGGGAGCACTCTTAGACGGCAACTCCTGTTTGGGTGCACTCTTTGGTGGTGATTCCTGCTTGGGAGCAGTCTTTGTTAGTGACTCTTCATTAGTAGAACTCTTGGGTGCCTCATCAGGTTTGATAGGTGCAGATGACGGACTAACTGGCTCTATCTTAGCTGGAGGAGGCGATTCCTTTATAGGCTCCTCAATTTTGGGAGCAGGTGCCGTTTCCCCAACAGATTTCTCTAAAAGATCAGATTGCTTGGGCGGCTCCGAGGCAACAATCTGTGCGAGAGTCTGGACTGGAAGAGGCGGTTGTGACTTTCCTGCAGGAGTAGGACTCTGTGTTTCAATTTTTGCCTCCGCTGGATTGATGTCCTTCTTTTGTTCCGCCAGCTCTAGGGGCCCTATCTTCTGATCAGGGGATTTGGGCTGGGAGTTCTGACCCACTTGTTTACCAGTAGGATTCGGCTGTTCCGATATTTTGGCATTGTCTTTGGACTGATCAAGTGGTTTTGTCTTTTCCACCGATTTTTCAGCCGATTTTGGTGGCGCTACTTTCTTCTCAGTGGGTTTAGATTCAATTTTCTGTTCGATTTCAGTGGGTATAGATTGCTGCCCCTTTTTTTCCGCAGGCTTGGTTTCTATCTTCTGGTCAACGGGTTTTATGTCATCCTTCTTCTGTTCTGCCGCTGGCTTTGGAAGTTCCAACCTTGGCGTTTCTGCAACTTGTGCAATTTCTTTGCTAGCTTGAGGGGTCTGCTGTCCCTTGGCATGTTCCTTGTTCTTATTTGGCTTGTCTCTGTTGGCCTGATCGTTCTTCTTTCCTTCCTTGGATTGAGCCTTCTTGTTCTCCTGTTTCTCCTTAGGTTTTTCGTTTGTTTTGGCTGCCTCCGGAGTTTTCTGTGACTGCTTTTGATCCTTCTTGAGCAACTGTTGTGGCTTATCGGTTGGTTTGTTCTCTACAGATTCTTTTGTAGCCTGTTCCGAGAGCTTTGTGGCCTCCACCTTAGCTACTTCATCGAAATCTCCAACGAGCAGGGGAACGTCATCATCCTCCTCGGTGGTAACAGTTCCCTCTCCGCTGCCAGAACCTCCTTTCTGATTGTTCATGGCGTTTGCATACATGCGCAGTTGGACAACTGTTTCCTGACCCAACTGGGGCAGAATGTCCGGCAGCATTTCCACGACCTTCCGGGTTTCGCCGTGACCCGTGACGGCAAAAGTATTGGCCGAAAGAGATGCCTGTGCCTTGGGGTTGTTGAAGTGAATCACGGTTAAGTCGTCCTTAATTATGTTGACTTCTTCAATGCCCGGGATTGTGCTCACTGATAGTTTTTTAAGGGAGCTCTGCAGCTTCTTATCGTCGGTGGCCGCAGTCTGGTGCATGACCTTCTTCTTTCGGCGAGGTGTGCCCTTGCCACCTATACGAACCTGGGCCTGCAGGCGCTTTAGCTTTTCCACATTCATCTTGCTATCTATTGGACAACTAGGGTTAGTCTAAAATATATATTACATAAAATCAAAGAAGTCGCCTCACTTTCCGCCCAGCTAAAATGACACAATGTGCAACTCCACGGGCAAAATTACAAATGCAGTGGACAGGCACACGATCCGCCAGAATAACCACCCGAATACCACGAATCCAACGCAGCGGCAGCGCTGCTTTTATTAATATCGTGCCGACTGCTCTTTTTTTGCAAATTTTTGTATGTTTTCGCTAGCAAATCGGGGAGAAAACAAGAAAAATGTCGCCCCAGTGCTTAAAAATAGCTCCACATTTCCTACACCAGCCGATGGCCGATGCTTTTGGTTTGCTTTGATTCAGTTTAGTTTATGGGGATTCTCGGCATGAGGCTAGCCAAGCGGCTGTTGAACCGCAGTTGCCTCTCGGGATGCGAATGGATGGATAAGGATGGGAACGGGACTGATGATGGGGCACAGGCATAGGATGGGATGAAATGGAACGGTTCGAGTCCCGAAAATAGACCGCGAACTTTTCTCACTGGTAGTTTCGCTCGCACTGCGGATTTTTGTTTAGAGAAAATAATAATAGAAAATTTGCATTGATTTATATGTATGTAAGTTTGTTTGCCTCCCTTCCAATGAATTTAATGAATTGCCAGTAAAAATATATTTTAAATAACTGGTTACAAGTCATATAATTTCATAGTTATTTTTTAGGTAAGACCAAAAAACTTCAATCAGATTATAAGACGAATTAGTTATCCTATCGTTATTACCCGTACCACAGTAGTTGTCCAACTACCACTTACTATCCGCGTTGCTGAATTTCTTGTAACATTATCAGAAGGATTCCATTTCTGGGTACATTTTTACATATTCTTAACTTAGTGATATTAACAATAGTAAAAAAAAAAAGTATGAAAGTTGAGATACTATAACAAAGTTGAGCACAACTATTTTTTATAAGAATCAAATTTTTGCGGTCAAGTTAAAGTCGATAACAATTTCTTAACGGTCTGATAGATAGCTATCGACTTTGAGTGCGATTATCGAACGGTACAGTGGTGTCGGTCTTTTTGGGTTTACAGAAAACTTAGTATTAACTGACTATTTTTTTTTGCATAAAAAAACGTTCAAAATCAATTCCTATATAAAAGGAAAGATTTATATTCCATATTTTTAAAAATTACAGTTTACGGGAAAATATCAAAAATACTCTCTATCCTGATTCCCCAAAAGCGGTCACACTTTGCGCAGCACCTGTAGATCAGCAGGCGTGCGTTTGGTTTGTTTTGATTTGATTCCAATGTTGCTCCGGAGATGTGTTCTGTTTCCGTTTCCCGCCGTGCGATTTGTGCGACGGAGTCTCCACCGTCAGCATGACCACATTGTACTCCATCCTGAGATCAGGAAAGCGTTGCAGCTTCAAAAGCCGGTCGTTGCCCTAGAGTCCACGATCATTACGCATGGAATGCCTATGCCGGAAAACGTACTTACTGCGTTGGCGGTAGAGGAGCAAGTTCGGCTAAACGGAGCCATTCCCGCCACCATTGGCATTCTTGACGGACGAATCAAGGTCGGTCTAACCCGAGAGGAGCTTACCACGCTGGCCAAGAAGCCCAGGGAGCAGGTGATCAAGTGCTCCAGGAGAGACCTACCCTTCGTGGTATCCAGAAGACAGAGTGGTGGAACCACTGTTGCCGCCACAATGATCATTGCCCATCGAGTGGGAATAAAGGTCTTTGCCACAGGGGGAATTGGCGGTGTTCATCGCAATGGCCACGAGTCCTTAGATGTTTCCGCAGATCTCACCGAGCTGGGTCGCACTCCGGTGGCAGTCGTGTGCAGCGGCGTCAAATCCATTTTAGACATTCCTCGCACACTGGAATACTTAGAGACCCAAGGTGTGTGTGTGGCCAGTTTCGAAAGTCCTGGTGGTGTCTTTCCAGATTTCTACACACGGGATAGCGGCTGCACAGTTCCCTACAACCTCAACAGCGTTCAGGAGGCGGCAGAGCTATTGCGATACTGGCGGGAGCTAAGACTAAAGTCCGGGCTGCTTATTGGTGTCCCCATTCCGGAGGAGTTTGCTGCAGATAAATTAAAAATTGAAGAGGCTATTAAGGAAGCAACGGCCCAGGCTAAAACTCAGGGAATTTCCGGAAAGGAGGTGACTCCATTCTTACTCGCCGCCATAGCCAAGATCACTGAGGGCAGGAGTCTTCAGTCCAATATAGCTCTGATAAAAAATAATGCGAAAGTGGCTGCTCAAATAGCCGCTTCTCTTAGCGATGTGTCCACAGAAATCGAAAACACAGGCAAAAGAACCTTGAACAGAAAACCTCTGGTTGTGGGAGCCTCCATCCTGGATCTCTCTTTTAAAATAGACGACCAGAATCGGGAAGTGAAGCTGGATGGATCCACATATTCCTCAGTAGCAAAACAGGCTGCTGGTGGAGTAGGTCGGAACATAGCGGAGGGCATTTACAAGCTATACGGGGATGTTAATTTTATATCCGCCGTGGGTAACGATCAGATGGGACAAACACTGCTTCAGATGATGCCAAAGGCGCTGCATCGGGGTATGATCCTTGAAGACAGCCATAACACCTCACTGTGCTCCGTCATTTTCGATAAATTTGGAGATTGCAAGCTAATCTTGGGAAACATGGAAATTCACCAAAGCATTACACCCGAAACCCTCCAAGCGCATCATAAACTCTTCCGTGAGGCTCCTATTATCATAATGGACAGCAACATTTCGGAGCAAGCCATGGCCAGCATCCTGCATCAGGCACAAAAGAACAAGATTCCCGTTTTTTTTGAACCGACGGATATGTTTATTGCGGGAAAACCGTTTAAACTGCTGCCAGAGCTGACAAAGAACATACGCCTGATAAAACCGAATTTCCAAGAGTTAAAGACCATCACGGAGGCCATCACAGGTGAAACTGTGCAACTTAATCTAGATAACAAACTCCCACAACCGGAACTTCTTCATCAAGCGAAATCCATGATCAAAAAAATTGACTGTCACTTCAATTGCATCATAGCCACCCTAGGTAGCCACGGTGTCCTTTTCAGCTATAGACAGGATGCAGACAATGATTCTAGGATGCTTTTGGACGTAAGCAAATTCGCACCGCCCCACCGTATTCGTTTCTTTGCCGCTCCTACAGTTCACAATATTGTCAATGTCTCGGGAGCGGGTGACAGTTTCTGTGCTGGGTTTATCACTGCCCTGCTGCAAGGGCGAGTCCTAGACGAATGCGTAGCCGGCGGTTTCGTTGCTGCTGAAAGAGCTCTCCAATCAGAGTCTGCGGTGCCCAAAACCTACTTCTCAATACAGGAAACCTTTGAGAGTCGTTACAAGCAAACTGTGAAAATCATCCAACAGCAAAGCATTTAGATGGTATTTAGTGACCGAAAAGAACAATGGCATTTAAACAGGACTTTTTCTTTATTCCTATGTGTTTTCTTAAAGTGTACAAGATAAAAATGTGTTTAGTAAGCCCATCTGAAAGATGCAATTAAACCAATTGATATTGTTAACTTAGCAACCTTATTTATAAAACTTACAGCTTTATGACTTTGTCCTTGCCTCCAGAGGCAACTCGAGAGCCATCGGGCGCCCAGTCCACTCCAAACACCTCATCTGCATGCCCAGGCAGCTCTTGCGCTAATTTCTTGGTTTGTACACTCCAAACTAAAAGAATTTTTGAATTAATCAGAGCCAAAATGGGCAAGATGTGGTGCTTACCCTTCAGTGTTGAATCTTTGCTTCCTGATACAATCAAACGTGAGTCCGCAGACCAGGCCAGTGTGTATACAGCCTGGACATGACCTCTGAAGGTGGCCATAAACTGTCCATCGTGGGCTCGCCAGAGACGGACAGACTTGTCGAACGAAGCTGACGCGATCAGTTTAACATCCGGCGAATATTTTACATCGTTAACCACATTCTGGTGGCCTGTCATTCGTTCCACGCACTTGTTTTGGTTGTTGCGCCACAAATAGAGGGTGTTGTCATCTGAACAGGAAACCAGGGACTCCACCTCATCTGGACAGACGGCCTGGAAGCGCTTTAAAGCGGATTCCTGCAACTGTTCAGCTGTAAATTAAGCTCTACTAGAATCGATAAAGAATATGCGATAACAAAGTTCTCACTACTTATGCTGATGTTGCTCTTAGAGCGTTCCTTAACCGGATGGAATGGACCTGTGCGCAGCACGTAGTCCGTGCTCAGAGCAATGTTGTTAACCCAGTGAGCGTGGCCAGAGAATGTCCGGCACAAGATGCCATCGGCAGATCGCCACATTTTCACTGTGCGATCCTTCGAGGAAGTATAAATAAGTCCTGAACCCCCCCAACGGACGGCAGTCACCGCATTCGTGTGTCCAGCAATGTTCATTAGACACTGACCCAGTTTAACGTCCCAAATCCTGCAGTCCCCATCTCCACTAGCGGAAGCAAGTCTTCTGCACTCGGGATCCCTATGATAGGGCTCCCAAGCGAGGCAGTTTATGTGTTTCTTATGTCCACTTAAGGGGCGACCCTTCTGCTGTCCCGTTTCTGGGTCCCAGATGATTATAGAGCCAGCTTTGCAGCCGCTGGCCAAACGTTTGCCATCCGGAGCCCAGGATACGCACAAAACCCATTGCTTGTGACCTGTGCAGGTGAAATGCGGTGTCTCTGTGTTAAGATCCCACAATCGTACCGTGGTATCACCACTTCCACTTGCCAGATGAGCTCCATCCGGGCTAAAATTAAGGGAGACCACAGCCTCTGCGTGCCCTGGCATGGAACTTGTGCATCTTGTCACCGGGCGTACTTTAAAAACTGCTTGCGGTTGATACACAATATCAATTACGTTCTCTGTGTCCACTGAAGCCAAGTCCAGGGTTTCCTCCAGGCTCTTCTTGATCTCATCTTCGCCTACGAAGAACAGATAAGGCGTTGCTTCTTCGTTCTTCAGCAGAGCATTGCATATTAATCCCAGTTGCTGGGTGGTAATTCCTGCTGGAAGGTCTATGGGCGGACCGGCCTCCTCCCCAGAATCCGAAATGAGGCGTGCTTGTATCGTGTGAGGCGTGGTTTGCGGCTCCGAATCCGTTTCTACCATCATTTTCTGTTTTTTGGCCAACATATTCGCGGCAGCCTCAAAAATGGAAGAGACGACAAAACAAAAATAAACACGTGCCGCGCACTTTTCCGTTAGTGGTGATCGAATTGGTACCCAGCAAAATTTGCTATCGATTACTCATAGCATGTCGGGACACGAATACCTTTAAAATTTTAAGAATAACGATTGTTTTATAAACCTTGTAAAATTTGTTTTAAAAAAATGTTTTTATTTTGAAATATTGCAAAATATTTGATTCGTTACCTTTTCTATTCGTTACATTGCTGTATTCACGCTCTAAAACGCTTTGTATAATAAGATGAAAACAATATTAATGCGATAACCATTTCTAAAGTATATACTTATGTTCATTTAATATGTTTTATAACAGTAAACGTTTGATTTATAAAGTTTAAGAAATTATTAGGATTTAACCATTATTGAAATTATTGGACGCCATATTTGTTTTAGCAACTTCGATAACAGCTACATAAGTTTCTAAAGTCCATCTCTAAAATCCAAAGATTTTCATGTACGCGTCTTAATAAAACTATATAAAAAATGGAAAATATTCCGCGGACACATGAGGGTAAGTAAAAAAAAAGCATACAATATTAACCCCTGACACAGAAAATATAGAAAGCCTTATTTTATTGACTGGACAAGACAGCCTTCTGAAATTTTTATCATTGGTCTACCATACTGGTGGTCTCATATTAAAATCAATTATTTCACCCGTTGTTCTCCACAGACATCGAGGCACAAATCAGCGTTATACAGGAAAAAAAAACAGAGCTGGCCAAGACGACTGCCGCGGCAGCTGGTGTAGGATTGCTGGACAGCGGAGGATTCTTTGATACCGACTTGTACGACGATGAGGCCGGCAAGGGAAAGGGACGATACGAGGGGTACAACACATCAATTGCGGCCAACGATGCAGATGAGGTGGACGAGGACGAAGACGACGGTTTTCCAGTGCCTCAAAAGCGCACCACATACACGGCGCCCACATCCGTGCTGAAGGATGTTACTCAGGGCAAAGAGGATGTGGATCCCATGGCGGATCGGAGGCGCCCCACTATTGCGGATCGTGAGGATGAGTACAGGCAAAAGCGACGTCGCATTATCATATCGCCAGAGCGGGCAGATCCTTTTGCCGACGGCGGAAAGACTCCAGATGTGGGCTCCCGTACCTACACGGACATTATGCGCGAGCAAATGCTTAAGGGCGAGGAAACAGAGTTGCGGCGAAGGATCCTTGAGAAGACCAAGGAGGGAACTCTGGTAAAGACTGCATTGTCATCATCTTCGAATGGAGAATCTGCGGCGCCCAAGGACGGCGGCAGGAAGCGGGGCAGATGGGACCAGACGGTCAGCGACAGCTTTATCCCGGCCAAGGTGGCAACGCCCAGCAGCGCTGCTACACCAACTTGGGAGGACGTAAGTATTTCAAGCAAAATTATCATTTCATTTCATAGTTTTAGAAAAGTCCTTATATACATATGTACTAACCACACAATCCGCCACAGAAAACTCCTGGGGATCATCGTTGGGACGAGACTCCAGGCCACAAGGGAAGCGAAACGCCTGGAGCCACACCAGGTCTGGGGACTCGCATCTGGGATGCCACACCGGCTCACGCCATGACCCCAGGTCACGAGACACCCGGTCACGAGAAGTCGGCCCGAAGGAATCGTTGGGATGAAACCCCAAAGACGGAGCGCGAAACTCCCGGACACAGCGGATGGGCTGAAACTCCAAAACCAGATCGCTCCGGCAGCGGAGCAGGGGTGGAGAGCATTTCTATCGAGTCCACTCCTGGAGCCTCCAAACGTCGTTCCCGCTGGGATGAAACTCCATCTAATGCTACGCCCGCTATTACGCCCACAAACGCTAATGCCATGACTCCAAATATGACGCCCAGTATGACGCCACATGCGACTCCAGGACATGCTACTCCTATGCTTACACCAGGAGGCAGTACCCCTATTGGAGTAAAGGCAATGGCCATGCAAACACCCTCTGCGGGAGCTCTGGCTGCCATGACACCCGAGCAATTGCAGGCATATCGTTGGGAAAAAGAGATCGACGAGAGAAACAGGCCTTACACTGACGACGAATTGGACCAAATCTTTCCGCCTGGTTACAAAATTCTACCGCCACCAGCTGGTTACGTTCCACTTCGTACTCCCGGCAGGAAACTGATGGCCACCCCTACACCAATCGCTGGCACTCCAGCCGGATTCTTCATCCAAGTGGAGGATAAAAACGCGAAGTTCATGGATAACCAACCAAAGGGTCAAAATCTCCCATTCATGAAGCCTGAGGATGCACAATATTTTGATAAACTTCTGGTGGACGTCAATGAAGACGCTTTGTCTCCTGAGGAGTTAAAAGAGCGAAAGATTATGAAGCTACTGCTAACAATCAAGAACGGCTCACCACCGATGAGAAAGTCGGCCTTAAGACAGATAACAGATAAAGCAAGGGAATTTGGAGCAGGTCCTTTGTTTAATCAGATCCTTCCGTTGCTTATGTCGCCCACCTTGGAGGATCAAGAGCGACATTTGTTAGTGAAGGTTATCGATCGTGTTCTTTACAAATTGGATGATTTAGTACGACCCTATGTGCATAAGATTCTAGTGGTCATAGAACCTCTGCTGATCGATGAAGATCACTATGCTCGCATAGAAGGCAGAGAAATTATTTCAAATCTGGCTAAGGCTGCTGGATTGGCCACCATGATCTCCACCATGAGACCGGATATTGACAACATCGATGAGTACGTGAGAAACACCACAGCGAGGGCCTTTGCCGTAGTGGCTTCAGCTTTGGGTATTCCATCCCTATTGCCCTTTTTAAAGGCCGTGTGCAAGTCGAAGAAATCCTGGCAAGCGCGACACACGGGCATCAAGATTGTCCAGCAAATAGCTATTCTTATGGGATGTGCTATATTGCCGCATCTTAAAGCTCTGGTTGAGATTATCGAGCACGGCTTAGTAGATGAGCAGCAAAAGGTGCGCACAATTACAGCCTTAGCAATTGCTGCTCTGGCTGAGGCAGCTACACCGTACGGCATTGAATCCTTCGATTCCGTACTGAAACCTCTTTGGAAGGGTATTCGTACCCATCGAGGCAAAGGTCTAGCCGCCTTTCTAAAAGCTATTGGTTATTTGATTCCCCTAATGGATGCCGAGTATGCAAATTACTATACCCGTGAAGTGATGTTGATTCTCATCCGTGAGTTTCAGTCCCCAGATGAGGAAATGAAAAAGATCGTGTTAAAGGTGGTCAAACAATGTTGTGCCACCGATGGTGTGGAACCACAATACATCAAAGAGGAGATCCTTCCGCACTTCTTTAAGTTCTTTTGGAATCATCGGATGGCGCTGGACAGAAGAAACTACCGACAGTTAGTAGACACCACCGTTGAAATTGCCAACAAGGTTGGTGCCTCTGAGATTATCAATCGTGTCGTTGATGACCTGAAGGATGAGAACGAGCAGTACAGGAAAATGGTGATGGAAACGGTAGAGAAAATCATGGGCAATCTGGGAGCAGCGGACATTGATTCCCGCCTAGAGGAACAGCTTATCGATGGTATTTTGTATGCCTTCCAGGAACAGACTACCGAAGATGTGGTGATGCTGAATGGCTTTGGAACCATTGTAAACCAGTTAGGCAAGCGAGTTAAGCCATATTTGCCCCAGATTTGCGGTACAATTTTATGGCGACTAAACAACAAATCTGCAAAAGTGCGTCAACAAGCCGCTGATTTGATCTCCAGAATAGCGGTCGTGATGAAAACTTGTCAGGAAGAGAAGCTAATGGGACATTTGGGAGTTGTGCTATACGAGTACTTGGGTGAGGAGTATCCTGAGGTATTGGGTAGTATACTAGGAGCCCTAAAGGCCATCGTAAATGTTATTGGCATGACGAAGATGACGCCTCCCATTAAGGACTTACTTCCCCGTCTCACACCTATTTTAAAGAATCGTCACGAAAAAGTGCAAGAGAACTGTATTGACCTGGTTGGTCGCATTGCAGATCGGGGACCAGAATATGTGTCTGCTCGCGAATGGATGCGTATTTGTTTTGAGCTTCTAGAGTTGCTCAAGGCCCACAAGAAGGCTATTAGAAGAGCAACGGTCAACACTTTTGGTTACATAGCTAAGGCCATTGGTCCCCACGACGTGCTTGCTACTCTTCTGAATAATCTAAAAGTACAGGAGCGCCAAAACCGCGTGTGCACCACGGTAGCAATTGCCATTGTGGCGGAATCATGCCGGCCTTTCACCGTGCTCCCTGCCTTGATGAACGAGTATCGGGTACCAGAGCTAAACGTTCAGAATGGTGTTCTTAAGTCCCTCTCCTTTCTTTTTGAATACATCGGAGAAATGGGCAAGGATTACATATATGCTGTTTGTCCACTCCTAGAAGATGCACTTATGGACCGGGATCTGGTCCACAGACAAACCGCCTGCTCCGCCATTAAACACATGTCTTTAGGAGTCTACGGTTTTGGCTGCGAAGATGCATTAACACATCTACTGAACTATGTGTGGCCCAATATTTTTGAGACTTCTCCTCACCTTGTCCAAGCCTTTATGGATTCTGTTGATGGCTTAAGAGTATCTCTCGGACCCATAAAGATCCTGCAATACACGCTACAAGGACTTTTTCATCCCGCTCGCAAAGTGAGGGACGTCTATTGGAAGATCTACAACTCGCTGTACATTGGGGGTCAGGATGCATTAATTGCCGGTTATCCAAGGATTACCAACGATCCGAAGAACCAGTACGAACGGTACGAACTAGACTACACGCTATAAGTTGTAATAACTAATCGGCTAGCGATAGGATTATCTAAGATATAAATATAAAAATCCAAACTATACCAGAAGAATGTTTTTAAATAATCTATCTTTTTTTACTTGCTGTATTCGTATTTTCTGTCGCGAGATATGGAAAATCATACAAACGGGAAGCATTACAAGAAATCGTATTCCCTATTCGTTGTATAATCGAATGCGATTTATTATCTTTAATCAGATTAGATAGAAGTACTTAAACAGATAATGCAAAGACGAATCATTGCATCTACAGCCATTATTCATATCTTGGATTTAGTAATTTCATTTGAAACAATCGCAATGTAATTTGAGTGAGTCATAACCCCCTGTTGTACTGCGTACGACATTTCCATTCACAATTTCGATATAAATTACATAAACAATTTATAAAAGTCTTGTTTTATTCTACGTTTAGAGTAGTTCCGCAATCCTTTAATAGGTGGGTATCTACTGTGGACTAATTTTTTGGCTTAGACGATAATACAAAAGTGTCTCATTGCAATGAGATTGGAACATCTCTACTACATCTTTGAGTGGTCTTGGTCCCTTTTCATCATCATCGGTGGAGTATTGATTGGACAACTTCTATCAGGCTCTGCAGACCGGACATATAATTCTCGTCTGGCAAGGCATTTTCTGCTGGGTAAACATGAGCAAAGTCGATCATTCTGACCCTTACCCAAGTTGTAGGATCATCTTCATTAAGGTGGTGGCCATTGAGGAGAGTCTGGCTTTTTGAGAAATCCCCTAATCTCGAGTAATCGTAGCATATGAGCAAAGAACTGGCAAAAAAATGCAATAGGCGTTGCCTGTCAAACCAGGAGTGGATCTCCTGAAGCTGGCGGAGTACTTCTTTCAAAAGCAACTCTGATCCCGCTCTCCTGGTCTTGGAATCACTTGTGCTTGCATTAAAAAACAAGGCCATCGTCTGCTTGAATCCCTCCACGTTTAAGCTCTTTCCGTAGTCCTTGCCGTGTCGCAGGATTGTGGTTTCCTTATGACTCTCCTCCTTGGGAAGGTACACCTGAAATCCTGGCAAGCAAAGACCCAGCTTTTGCTTGCACATCACGTACTTTGCTTCCTCAACTTTTCGCTTATTTGGCGAGGATTCTGGATCCCAGGTTCGTTTACCCATCTTTACATCCATAACACACGGCTGGCGCATCCCACGCGTAAGATCTTCCAGGCGTAGGAACGTGCGTTCACGACGATTCACAACCAGTTTCAGGGGGCCGTAAAATCTGGGGACGTGACAGCGGAGCAGGGCAAGGTCATTATCACCTGAAGCACCTGCTTCTGCCAGTGACTCATAAAAGCGAAGTTCCCGTTCGCCACACTCTGGTTTCCCAAGAGGTTTCAGGACGCATCCGGCCTTTGAGTCCTGCAGGAGACCCACTGCTTCGGAATTGCTCTCCTCGAATGTGTGGCCGGCCACCTGTGTCTGCAGCTGGCGAAATCCTTTAGGCAACTCCTGCTCACTCTTGGCCATGGCGGAGTATTTGTAGTCCAGTAGTCCAGCAGCAGCACCACTCAAGGCGGCAATCGGAATGCCTTGGGAAATCTCGCGCAGAAAAGGTTGCGCGCACTTAACGCTGAATCAGTGATGGCAAGCCGGCTCGCTACCCGTTAGATCTGACTTTTTTCATTTGGCGGGAATATGTTTTGAGCATTGTAAGATGGAGCCAATAAATGATTTTCTAAACAACCTTTGATTTTTATATTACAATTTAACTATTTAATTATGAGGGGCTTAATTTTATTTAAATAATTATTCTAAGACCAAAAGAGGCGCCACAGGTGGCAGCACTTCCCAACATTAGGTGTTGTAAAGAGCCCTGGAGCCAGTGCTGCAAAGCGAAAGCGTTCTTCTAATTTGTTGCTAATGTTTTTGGGGAGTGGTTTTGTTTGCTAATTTAGCGCGTTTATTTACCTTCAGCTTATCTGCTATCTAACCATCGAGATTGTAAGATGAAATCCTGGGAGATAGCTTTGGTGGTGGTTGCTGCCGTTTACTTGTGTTCGCAAGGTGAGTTTTAGGATTGAAAGCCCAGGTTCGGGCCACACCTATGTGCATATGTACGAATAAAATTATTTAAAACATTCCTATAAATCATATATTTTAGTAAATTTTGTTAACGGATTGGAGTGCTATGTGTGCTCCAACCAAACGGGCAATACGGAAAAGTGCCTTAACACTATCAAGACCTGCGAGCCCTATGAAAACGTATGCGGGACGGAGATTCGCTGGGGATCCCAACCGTACTTCTCTGAGGGAGCTCTAAAGCAGTACTACGTCTCCAAGCGATGTATGACCAAGGAACAGTGTCAGTCGAAGAGAAAAAGATATATGCAGCTTTACTGCACCCACATTTGGTACGAGGATTGGGCGTGCAACGAGTGCTGCCAGGGCGATCGGTGCAACTACTTCGTGATTGTGAGTATAAATAATATTTAGCAGGATCACCTAATTATCTAAACATGTTACAGAGTGGAGCTCTCTCAAGACAAGGTTATGGAGTCGGTTTGACGCTGTTCCTGACCCTTTTAAGCCTAGGATCTTGGCTAATTTCACTTTCTTAGTCTTGAAAGTCTTCGTTATTCCATACCCATTCCGATTTTGGTATTAATTCAACAAAACCGTCCATAAGTTAAGTATATTCCAACGAAAAGTTTAAAAGTACTCCGTCCAAGTGCCTTGGCTCAACAGAGAGAGGTAAAAAGTAAACTAGTTTAATTACTAGCCTGAAGCCTTAAGAAGTAGACTTCGCTTTCTAATATTTTAAACATTTTCGAATGTACATTTTTACTGGAAACTACTCAATGAGTAGTAAATTTTCTTACGTCAATTTTGAAAAGTATTTATACAGTCAAATTTCTATATATTGAAGTTTATAATCTTGAATTGATTTAAGTGGTATAGAGATATATATAATATTCGAAATCTCAGTCTCCTAACTCGAATCAATATCGGTAATTTCTGTTATTGTTGGAAGTTAGACTTTACCTGTTTTACAGCTACTGAATTTTTTTTTTCCAATTTTTTAAAATATTTAACGTTTTTTAACCCTTGATTCGATATTTTAACAACAATAAAACACATATTATGTTAAAATAAAGTAAAAGCGAAATTCTAAGCTTAGTTCAGGTGATTAAAATTAGAATATACTATAAGAATATAGAAATCCGATTTAAATAATATACACTCAATCCCCCCTGCAATAAAGCAACTTTGACGTCTTTTTGGCGCTTTAATAAACAATTATTCAACTGTCACGAATTGATAGTTTCTCACATCCTGTCATTCACTTGGCACAAAAGCATCCTGCGGTTACTGTTACGGTTTTAAATTGCCACGGTTGATCCTTGTTCATCCAAGAGTGGGAGTGAGCTGGCTGGGAGGCCTGTGTCAAAACCTTTACCTTGTACTCGAAAGGCCTGCAATTGGATCCATGTGAGCATTTGGCCAGGTCCCGTCCAGAGCCCGATTCGCAAACGGCATTCATCAGGAAACGTGGAAAGTGTAGGCTGCCCAGATCCACAAGCTCGTTCTGGAGGATGGAAATAAAGCTGTAAACGTCTGTCGCTGTTAACGATTTTCAAACAAACCGTAACTTTGCAATCACAGCCAGCGGAGTGTACGTCGTTGCGTTTGGTGGTCAGCAGATCCTCGTAGAAATCATTATAGTACATTGGCGGCAGCTGGTGGGGCATCACCATTGCAATTTCCGTTGGATGTGGGGTACTAGGACCAAAGCCGAAAAGTGCATCAAGCATCTTGGATGTACTGCGGTCGGATTGCTGCTCCTCGGTGTGCTGCTCCATGCATTGTGGCTCGCAACTCCTTAGACCCACTATTTCATCATAGCCTTTATCACTGGAGTACAAACTGGCCTCTCCTTTATTTATTAGGCTTAGCAGCGCTAGAGCCGGTATGGAAATCGGAAACTTGGGAAAAAAGGATTATTTCTTCTTTAAAAATAAATGTGTTTAATTTAGCATGTATGCTTCTTTTACAATACATTGACATTCAGAAGTTTTATGTATGTGGTCACACTCGTATGGACTTACCCACGGCATCTTGCTCAATCTGTGCCTGCCCAGCGCTGAACTCCTTATGCGGCTCTGGCCAAGGGTTTTTCGTACTTTTATAGCCATCCAGGACAAAAGCCGCGTCTTAGATTACCTTTTGTGCTAGAGATGAGAGCAGCAGCATCCATTACGGTTCGTCACCTGGACAGGATGGAACAATGGGTTCAACAGTTGACACCACAACAATGGCAAGCCACGCCAAGCTCAAGTGGCCCGACTGATGGGGTTGAGTCCCTTGGCTATTTATACTTTTTGCCGCTTTCAATGGGGAAATGGCTTTAAGGCCTCAAGTGCCGGCAAGCGTGGGGAACTTCGAGGAGTGCGAGTGGCCAAAGGAACCCACTGACCCAGACATGTGTACACAGGCAAACGGCAATCTGATCCCCTCCCACCGATGACGTTAACCAGGGTGGTTTTTTTTGGATTCAGAAAATGCTCCAAAAACTTTTACTGTAGCATACTTTTGAGTGAAAGGACTAGCTGTGGATAAATTTCCGATTGGATTTTATTTTCCGGAATTTCCCTTTGTAGAGGAAGCCACTTCTTTTATTAATTTCCGATTTTTGGGAAATTTATGTTTTGCAGCCATTGGTATTATCAAAAATGTTTTTCTCGGTAATAATTTTAAAGTTTTAATAAGCTTTAATATAAAATGTATCCGTATCTTTACAAATATATTTTAAATCAATTTACTTTGTCGGTACTGCCAAAGGTTACGAATTTCTACTTCAAACTTATAATAAAAGAATGGAAACTGAAATTAAATGAATTTTTCTGATTTGCTAATATTGTAATAAAAAGAACGATTAATTATTTAAAAGAATGTCAAAATACATCCTGTAAAGCCATCGTTGCGCTCCTGTCATCATGATCTATGAGCTCACTGTGTCTCCCGCTATGGTCAGCTTGGGTCAGGTGTAGCGCTTCTGGCATAACAAACAGCGCCCGGCTAGAACGACTGCCAAAGAGACTAGACCGGGTCAGACCTATGGAGCATATAGTATAGACCTTTACTTGTAGGGAGCTCGTGAGTGTGCAAGGTACAGTGGACTCTGGCGACTTCTACGGCTTCCGTCGACGGGCAGCACGCACTACCACTGCCCGCTGTGGAAATCCAAATCCTCCTCAGTCGAATTCGCGTCGTCGAGGCAAGAACATTGCCTGTTCCATAAGGTTTGACATGCACAGCCGGATAAATTGACATCGCATTGCAACCAACAGCTAAAATCAAGCGTAAGAAGTCGGGAATCGGAATCAGAGGAGATGCAGTTTTTTTTGGTGATGGACTTATGCTGAGCTCAGCAGCTGCATTCCTGCGGAGACTTCATCCGTTTGGTCGTTGTTGTTGCTGCACAGTTTTTCCGCCGTGGAATTTGTCCAAGCGGAAAAGCGAAAACTAGCAGCACCGCGAAGCCCTCGAAGTGTCTACGAAAATCGTTAAAAAATAGAAAAACACTCGGCGACTATGTCACGACGCGCCTGCTGACCGCCCCTCCGCACCCAGGGAGATATTGAGATTGAGCAAGACCCAAACTACTTTGCCACCCATTTCACCCATTTCACCTACTATAAACCAAACTCAGGATTCGCATGGAAAAAGGCACAATGAAGCGCAAGCAGAGGAGATATCGGTAGGTAGGAGGTATTGGTAGTTGGGTGTACAAAATAATTGGCATTAATATTCTAAAAAATATATAAGAACACATACTTTTAAGTTTTAACGTCTGTTAGATAGATGCACACTCATTATATACCATCTTCATCGTCCCAGAACCACATTTAATACCCTGCAGCTGCAGGAACTAGAGAGGGCTTTCCAGCGGACCCATTATCCGGACGTTTTCTTTCGGGAGGAGCTGGCCGTACGGATAGATTTGACTGAAGCGCGGGTGCAGGTGTGGTTCCAGAACCGGCGGGCCAAGTGGCGCAAGCAGGAGAAGATCGGTGGCCTTGGCGGAGAGTACAAGGAGGGAACGCTGGATCTCGACGTGGCCTACGACGATAGTGCAGTGCTAGGCCAACTGGACAGTGCGCTTGGTAGGAGCCACAAAAGCATTAACCATGGTTCCAGTTTATTGTTCGCTCAAATTATTTTAGGCGGAGGAGGAACTTTATTACCGGATACCCCGCCGCAGTCTTCCAACTCCCTGGATAACGAACTGAAGGCTTCCTATGGTACAGGGACCATGTCGCCCTCCAGGCTATCACCGAATATTTTTCTGAACCTAAACATCGACCACCTCGGACTAGAAAGAGGTGGCAGTGGACTTTCCATGGAATGGTCCACCTACCCTCCACCTCAAACGCAAGTGCATACTCAAGCGCAGATGAATCCAGAAGATCAACTCCACCAGCAGCACCCGCCACAACAGCTCCAAAACCATCAAACACACCATGAAAACACGAATGTCCATAATCAGCAGCCGAATTCCCAACATCCTCAGGGTCTTGAGTTCGCCGCCTCCTTGAATCTGGACATGACCGATGGCTCCTCCGCCTACGATGAGATGAAGTTCCTCAGCGTAGACGTGGACCAGTTCACGATCGACAGCTTCAAGGCGGACTGTATTCTCAGCATGGAGCAGTCCCAAATGCAGTCCTACGTTGGTCACTCCCAGCTGGTCGGAACCTCCAATGAACTGTGTCTGGAGGGGATTGGCATGTCCACCTTTGGCCTGGAAGAGGGCGAGCCCAAGACACCTCCCTCACTTCTGGTGCTGGACAAGACGCTGCCCTCTTTGAGCATCGGTGTCGATGGCATCGCTGATCTCGTAGAGCAACTGCATCATCACCAGCACGAGGGTGGGTCAGTGGGAAGTGGTGTCATCACTAGCGATGTTTTGTAAATCCAACTTAGGTGAATTCTTTGTTTAGTTATATGTAAGCTAAAGTTAATCCAGTTGTAGGTGTAATTTGAAATGCTCCATCTTCTATGCGGAAAAGTGGGTGGTTAGAGCGGTATTCTTGTTTTCTAGTTAATCGTAGTCACTAAATTTACAAACAAGCCAGATCAACCTACCTGAATACAAATGTTTCGAAAAGTAATTGCACGTTTTAAGACTTTAAACATTACTCTTTCAAATTCTTAAAAGTTCATTTCCTGATTACTTTAGTCATAAAAAGTTGTTTAATCTAGGAAAATCTGTAATCTATTATAATTAAAAACAACATTTTTATTTAAAGAAAATAATATTTTGTGTTGAGCACTTTTCGATATTAAGGAATATGAAGAATGGAAATTTAAATATAAAGTCGAGGTAAAACGGGTCCTTGACTACGAGTTTGGCTACCACGTTCTGTTTTAGCTTTTATGGATTCCGCATGTGTGTGCCTAACAATGGAACCCCCGACGCTCCTGCCACGCCCCCGCCTTCTGCACACGCCTTATTTGTGGCTCGGATTAGAGGCAAACTAATTGTGCGATTTGAATGGTTTTCGGGTTTCAGTTCTGTTTGTTCGGCAATAACATTTGCTTTGCTTTTTAACAATTGCTCTCCCCTCTTCTGACCACCCCTCTAGCTGGCTATAATTTCCATTTACTGCTATTAGGTGGACTCCTGCAGGACCTAATCCTAAGCAGCCTTAACGGAGGACTCCTAGACTCCATTTAAAAGTCGACTCGGTTTAAGGAAAAGCTCACAGCGGATGAGGGCTGATGATGGTGGAAAGCTGAGCAGTTTGAAAGGTTGAACTTGTACTAGGATATACTGTTTATTGTAATCAACATTTTATTGAAAATATGTTGAAATATTCTCATATCTTCACAGATTTATCGTACGGAAAAACTTTTGTATTCTTTCATTTATATACTCTTATAGTTTTAGAGAATTTTCTGACGGAAGTGATGATATATATAATAAGTGATGAATGAAAGTGATCACTCGAAGGTTCCTGGCTTGATTAATACTCTTCGGGCCGGACCAGCACAGCTTGTTGGACTTAAGCTAAAGCCTTCAAGGGAATGGAGCGGCAAAAGATCAGTCAGAGGTAGAGATTCGGTGCTGGGGGCACTCGGCTCAGCTGGCTTAACACCTTGGCAAGCTCCTTGTGGATTTTGCGAGGCCAAGGGCCACCTAGTGCCATCCCCCTTCACTCCCACAGCACCCTCTGCCACCCAGAATGCCATTTTGCAGCTGACAATGACGGGGACAATAAGCTAATTGAGGCTGAGGTGGATGTCGCAGCGTGCGGACAGGCCACAGACTCAAAAATCCACCAGCACGCTCCGATGGCCAAAAAAGTTCATTATCCCCGGTCGAGGGTTGACATGGCGGCCCTTGGATGCGAAGGAGGATGGGGATGCGGATGAGTATGCGACCGGTTGCCATTGGATAATCTTCTGTTATGAGGCCGCGCAACGATGCGCAGTGAAATTTGGTTGGCTTTTTTTGAAAGTGATTGAAGGGCGAAATATAGTTCCAAGTTTGGATGCTTTTGCGAGAGTTAGTCTAATTTTGAGAACAGCTATAGACATGGTTCTGTCTAGCCTCTCAAACTCCTTCTGCTCCGCAGTTAGAACAAGCAACTGGCACATTTAAAATTAATCGAAAATCTTTTCTTTGGTATTATTTCGAGCACTCGCATCTCGGGGCTGTGTGCACAAGGACCACAAACTTTAATCGATAGTCAAATAAGCGTCGGTCCTCCGAGGAGCGAGGGGAAGCATGCGAGGACACAGCCATGTGTGTTGAACGTACGAGTATAAGGACTTGCTGCGAGAGAGCTGAGAGCTGCTCCTTGCTCGGCTTTTGTGCTGTAATTTCTCTAACGTTTGTTTATATTTTATATCGAATGCGCCCCGGGCCGCATAAACGCAATAATCGCACATTTTATGGATTAAACTCACCTGCCTCGTCTGCTAATCTACGGCAGGATTTCTGCCAGGAGCCATGACATGGGTCAACCTCTGGGACTGCTCTGATTGATGGGAAGAAGAATGATGACGAGATTTTTTGTAAACCCTTTGGCTGAATATCTGTATGGATAAATATGTATAATATTAAATAGTAGTTTGGTTTATTTTTAAAACCACGAATGGAAACCTTTGAAGAGTTTAAAGTAATAAAAAGAAGAAAGTAATATATTAAATTATTAAACTCTTTTCTGGGTGAATCTGATAAAAAGGTATACACATATCTTTAAGGAATATTATTATCAGCTCCTATTCCAGCATCAGAGAAACCTGATTGGGGCTTAATCCTTTCCCTGAGCGGTGTTGCAAAATCCCATGATAATTCCGGGGTCAGCACAATCCGTTCCCAGTAAGTCATTGGAACCCCCACACTGATGAATCTCAGTCGGATCCAAATGAGTTATTCATTATGCATATGCATTCGATTTTCAGCCCCCTTTACCCTCTGACTTCCACCAGGCCAATTTTAAATAATGAAATATTAAAATCGAATGCGACTGAAATGACTGCTGCCCCCGGATCCTCAGCTCTTCGCCAACTGAATCGCGGAGAGGTGTTCATGTGAATAAATTGCAATTAACAATATTTTTATTTCAACAAACGAAATGTCGACCTCCCCCCTCGGCTCCTATGAATAAGAAAAAAGTAACAACAGGGCGAACCCATTTAATTAAAGGCAAATTTAATGGGTAAATATTTCATATGCTGCACATACATACAAAGCGCGGGTCAGTAAAATTGTCGAAAAAAATTATATGCATATACATTTTTATATCCTTCTACAGTGCGTTTCGTAGTTGTAAATTTTAATACATTTTATAATGACTCCAAGCATCAACATGGTTTGGAAGCTGTTTGAGGGAGTAAATAGGTTTAGATAATCTTGAAGAGAATCATTCTTATGATTCTAAAGTAATACTAAAGTTATTATCTATGACTTATAACCTAAGACACTATCGACTAGACAATATAGTTGCGAAACGTGCTTTACCAAAAGCTTAAAAAGTACATATTTTATTTTAAAATGTGAAAAAAGCGAGTAAATAGCCTGGAATTGGTGGGCAGAAAGGCAAGCTGGGAATGGGCGTATATTAAATGTCGTGTTGATACAGAACGGGAACGGAAAAAATTATGCGAGGCGTGCACTAGAAAAACAAAGGAAACACGAGACGGGTCGGGCCGGGCCGGGGAGTGGAAAAAAGAAATCAGAAAAATTAATAGAGTGCAAATATTTGTAGATTTTTACACGAACTATTAACGGGCAGCAAACAAAGCCCGACGCAAAAACCAGGAGCCAGAAACCAGGAGCCAGGATCCTGAATCCCGGATTCGAGTTCGGGATTGGAGATTGCGGGTAACTCGAGATCGTATCAGATGGAATGGGATGGTGTATACATTGATAGGCCTGTGTAAATAAGAGTACCGGGAATGACAGGGCACAAAATGGCGACTCAGGAGCAGAGGACCAAATAAAAGAGAACGAGCCAAGTCAGGTCAAGATGGAATAAATTTGAATTTGAATTTTGGCCATCGGTTCGAGTCGTCGGAGTCTCTCACCTGAATGGACCTAGACTTGCTGCTCCAGCTCTGCCAAAGGAAAATAACAAGATGGAAACTTTGCCAAAGAGAAAAACACAAAAAATGGGGAGAAAAAACAAAGTGAAAGGACACAAAACAGCCCAAACGAGACAATTTGTCAATCACATTTCGGGTGACAGACTGTGAGTGAGCAGAAAGAAGGAAGAAGTAAGTCGGAGAGCGGAAAGCAAAGTTATAGAATAAAAGTGTTTTATATAAATGAAATATTTTGAAATATTTCATATATATTCCTATTTTATAAAATTGAGTTTTAAGTCACTTAGTTAAATGATTTCCCTCGGGTTGTACCCCGAAATACGTGAATATAATTTGTGCTCGATATTCTCTCCGTGCAGGGGATGATTTGAGTGGTTTTCCCATCTTGTTTTGGCACGACCCCCGATTCGCAATGCAAGAATGAAAATGGCCAACAAATGCCGTCAGAGGACATGCAGATACAGCTGCCACAGAGCGGGGAAGATGCAGATGCACATAGGTTTCCTGCCCCATCCTCTGCTGTTTCAGATCCTTTGTGTGGTCCGTATCTGTGGGCGAATTGATTGGAGGCGAAGCCATCAAAGTGGCCATCGAAGCTGCTAACAGGCTGACCGCTGCCGCCCCACCTTGCACCAGGTTTCCCCCATTTCCCTGGCTCCTCTTCAGTTATCCTTGGATCTCCTATTACCCGGAGTGGCAGGTGTGAAAGACTTTCGCCGGGTCTTCCCACTTATCATCGAAAGTTTTCCACCCGGAGTTAAAGAACTTCTCTTGCAATTTTCGTTTGACTTTTGGCAAGTTTTTGTTTTATTCTCGATTTTCAATAAGTTATTTTTAACATTAGAATTATTCGATGGAGGAATGACACTTAGCTTGTGTGTAGTATGGTATGCTTTACTTATTTATCAATACTCTTCTTCGGAGGTTTCTATAGTAGATGCAATAAACTTTGGACTTGGACACAGGACACGAAACAATTACCACAAAACGCATTCACACTTAGTTTGATACATGACATTCGCGCACATAGATGTTTACATACAATAAGTGACTGTACAGATTTACTAAATATAGTTAAGATACTTGTCTAGTTTCTTTCCCCTTTCAACTTATAACTTAGTAACAAAAAAGGTTCATAAATGGGGGTTCTTCTCGTCTATTTACAAAACAAAACTTATGAGCTAAGGGCCGACATCGAGAAGTCAATTTAAGCTTACTCTTTGAACTATTTAATTTTAAGTACTCAGTCGCGTAAAACAATTTAATAAATAAATGGGTTTGTTAACTCAATAATCAAGTTTCATTTCAAAATCTTATGCATAGGTTTCCCTATGCGATAAAAAATAAATACATTTTTATTTTAAGTGACTTCTAAGTAAGTAAGACATTGATCAACTGGCCCTTAAAGTATTACTATGCCCTATGGTAATCCATCCGTATTTACAACAACAGCCAAGGTCCAGCTTAGGCCACTTCCAGGTCGGAGGACTCGTCGGCATCGCTGTATCCATTGGGATCGCTCTTGATGTGGACTAGTTGCGCGGAGTAGTGATCGGATCCGGGGCATTTCACGGGTACTGCGTTTCCGGTGGCAGTGGTGGTGCCGATGCTGCTGTTGTTGGTGCTGCTGGTGGTGCCGTTGGTGGTGCTGCCGCATTGCTCCTCCTGCAACTTACGCAGCCGCTCCTGCTCCTCGCGTTTTTGCTTGCGCCACTTGGCCCGACGGTTCTTGAACCACACCTGGAAAAACAAGAGGAAATACAGTCTTTTAATAATGGATAATTTATTTATTTCTAAAATTTATATAAGTTATTTAATAACTTATTACTTTAATATTAGTTCTCCAATGTGGTATAAAAAGTTTCATAAAGTTGAAGCTTTTCGCGCTAATAAACAAATACAGTCTCCTTCTGTTTTAAAAACTCATCCAATGAGAAAACGAGGAGGTGGCTAGGGTGGCTACCTAGGTTACTTTTGAGCGCGGGGCTTCAAAAACACTTTCATCCGTTTTGCTCGGAAATTCGCTCTTCTGCTTGGGATTTCTGCTCATAAATATTTTAAGTAATTTTTTCGTCCCTCCCTTGTTTTTTTCACGTTCCAAGGCTTCTCTCTCAACCTTGGCGGTTATCTTTTGGCCAGTTGCCAGGGACACCAATCCTCCCACTTCTGCCTTTTCAGGGTTTAATGAGATGACTTATTGTAATTGTAATTAATTGAAAATTCAGAAGAAGGCAGTAGAAAAGGAAAAGTTCTTTGTGATTTGAGGGTGGGAAGTAAATTTATGATTGGAAGAAAGGCCCGGGGTTACCGTTATATATTGATTAGTCATGAACAAATATTTAAATATTATTAAGGGAATCATTAAACTTGTATATTCAGCAAGCGAAAGCTGAAAACTCCGTTCTTTTAAGTCAGGTAAAAAAACCATTTTCTCTTCTCGGGCCGGATTTACTCATTGTTTTTATCTTTTTAATTAGGCTTTGGCCACGCCTTTTGCGCCTGTCAACCCGTTGGGCTTTTATACCCCACCTTTAACCCTATCCGCCTTCATCCCACCCACTGCTACTTAGTTAATTAAAACAAAAGGCGGCTGCGAAGTGACTTAGGGGTTAAACATCATCAGCATCAGGAGGTTATCTCTCTTGGGGGCAAGGGAAGATTTTATCTGAAGGAGGAGAGGGCGGGAAAGGAATCCGTTATGTAATCACCCTCATGGGCAGTGAACCCATCTGTCTTGTCATTAGCCCCCAAAGCTACCCCAAAAACCCACTCCTCCTCGGAGGGCGGAGTCTTTTCTCTCTTTCTCTGCGTTTTCCCCGGGAATTCTCCCTGCGATTCTCTATTTGCCCAATCCGAGTGCAATGGTGAATTTGCAACCCCTATATGTTTATTTGTCCGTCTGTTGTTGATTATTTGCTGAGTAAATACTGGCAGAATGCTGGCCCGAAACTCGCAGCCAGTCGGCCAGGAAAAAGTTTAATTAGAACAATTAGCAGCGGTGGGAAAGTTGATTTTCCACAATGTTATCATTCGAGGAAAAAGTTGAGTTTTCTCTGGGTTTCGCAAAATGTTTATGCAGCAAATCGACTGAATTTGTTGAAATAACAGACGAAGTGGCTGTGGAAAATGCGGAAATGTGGAAATGACGGGAAATGCGCTAAACTTATAAGCAAGGCATTATCAGCTGCTCTAAAAAATACGCATTTAGTTTTGCAGTAAATTAGCGCAGCTGCTTTCCCATACTTATTTGGTTATGATGGAATTTTTTTCGCCCTGGAAACCTTTGAACCTTGCTGGTTGCCAAAGCGTTTGATGCCCTGGCAAAATGGCAGTTGAATTTTCCATTTTCCACAGGGCCTAATTAGATTTTTGACAACTCCCTCTACCCTCGTATATTTGGCATATTTATTTTCATAATTTTCATAATTTTATGAGCTTAAGTTATTAAAACAACAGAACACAGGGCACGCAGTTCTAAAATTACGCAATGAATATGTGAATTACTCGGCTTAATTGTGTCAACACACAAACTAGCGAGATAATTACCTATGCAACAGTTTTAATCCACAAATTCTAAAACAAAAAAAAAAATCACTTAGCTGCGGGCGAAAAAAATCGACGGCGATTTTTACCGCCTGATTGGGTTTTTTCGGCATTTGGCGCTTATTAAAGTTTCATATTTTAATTAAATGTTGGCCAGCGAACCGCATTGAACCCTAATCCGGCGGGACTACAAAATCCATGTGTGTGTGCCGGAAAAAACACGCTCGCTCTGCTAATCCCGTAATTTGTACGGCCAACAGTGTTCCGGCGAACACTGGCAGCTCCTTTCTCCCGCCACGCGTTTTAAATCTGACTAACGCACAACAATTTGGCCATAACCGCAGGCGCGTTTTTTCCACTTTTCGCTGGCTGGCACGCTCGCAAAAATCGCAGTGAAAATTTGGAGAAATTAAATAAACAAAGGCGCAAAAAGTGTCGGTTCAAGGGGGCGGGAAAGGGGGATCTGTGTGGTGGGCGATTTCCCATGTTGATTGATAGCTTCAACAACATGCCAACAAAATGGCGAAACTGCATTTCCCCACTGAGGGAAAAATGCTTTGAATTGAAAACTCTATAAAAGTAAAGGAAGTTTAAGTAAAGAAGGAAGGGAAGTAAATTTTGTTTTCTAACCAATATGCTTATATATACTGCAAATATATTATAGCATACTATCAAACATATTTCTGAGCGCTTTCCTACCTCTTTAAAAATCAATCAACTTTTTCGGAAAGTAGAAGAAGTATAAAAAGATACTTGCATGCTCAGTAGGGCCTACTCTTTCAGTGTAAAATGGAAGCAGATGCATTTTTTTGCGCCAGGAAGCGTAGAACTTGACATGCATTGGCTCGCGCCTTCGAGTCGAGAGATTTCTGGAACCACTGGCCACTGCAAATATTGCCACAGATTTTTCATCCAAAAGCGCATAAATCGCTGATACCGCAGGAAAATCGAGGGGCCGTGGAAACTCCAGGGGCAAAAAGGCCGAAGCGGCACACATTCGAAAACGTGCATGAAATCCATTGAACAAACATACCCACGGCGGTTGATTTTTAATTAACTACAAAAGCGCTTTACGCTCCAGACCCCTTCCCCACCTTACTATCCTTCACCCCCTGGCAATTGGGAAATCAAGGGGCGGAGCATTCTGGCCGACTGACCATCAGATGTGTGTGTTATTTTTGGGTTTTTGGCCAGACTGCTGACTGCGTGGCTGGATTACTATGAAATGTTTCCCAAAATGCAGCACATGGTTGCACTGCTATGATAACTTTGCGCTTCGTTAATCGCTGCACCTGCTCTTTCGATTTTCCTCTTCTAATTTTTCCGTGTTTTTCCAAGCTCGGAAAATTTTGTCCACGGCAAAAGCCAAAAAACATTGAAAAAGCCAGGATACCAAAAAATAAAATGGAATCTCTCCAGGATAGGTTAATAAAAATGTGGAGCAAGGGGTTAAGATGGGGAAAATGGATGAAAAATGGGGCGGTAGGCGGTTGAGGGCAGGCGGAAAACTCAAAATGGCGGCTGCCTTTTTGCCAGTCGCTCTAATTAGTGAAAATTGGCAACACAAGTCGGTCGGAAACTTCGTCACCAAAGTGGGTGGCGCCACACTCTTCCCAACCCCTCATTTTCCCAATTTTCATCCGACCTTTTTTGGAAAATTGTTGACGCTGTTTCCGTCTGTTGTTGGATTAAAATCGCGCACCCATGAAAATTGCTCGTTACGCACATTCCCATTCCACTTTTTGACAGTGCATGTGCACTAATTAAAGAGTTTAAGATCGACTTGCTCTGAATCTCTACTTTAAAAATGGCTTCAAACAATAATACCATAAATAATATGGTTTAACAAAATTGTAATTTGAATTAAACCTTATACAAGTTTAAATTTATTTTAATAACGGCCTTTACAGATCGCGTTAGTACCTAATGCTAAAAATACTGGAAGTAGTGTTAGAAAATACACCAAAGCGGATCCCAACTGGATGTGGGAAAAAAAAGAAGAAGGAGGCTGGTAAAAGTTAAAAGCTTACGCGTGATTCTCCGCGATCAAAAACTGAATTTAATTGCTGAAAATTGTTGAAAACGACTGAATAAATCCGTTGTCATGTTGTGCACTTAATTATTAACAAAATGTTGTAAATAAAGCTATTATTCAAAACCGTTTCATTAATGGCTTATCGCCATAAAATGGAGGTAAAATTTTGTTTATTAAATGAACAAAGGACCATAAAAGTTGATATATGCGTTAAGTTCCAAATAAATCATAGACCATTTTAAGTAAAATATATATTTAAAGTGTAATAAATAATACATATAAAAGCATTATTTGCAATTATATGTATATATCCCGCCATTTCGGACTTCTTGGCTTTTAATTTCTTATTGGAAATGTCAAGTTAGAACGTTCTTGTTTGCTTTTGCGATAGAAATCTAAGTTATTATTCAAAAAGTTACAGTTTACAAATAGCTCAGAACATCATCAGCTAACTGTAATTATTTGAGGAGATGGAAAGAAAGAGACAAAAATAATGGAGACGAGTGAGAAGTTTGTTTACAAATATCTTGTATATCGATTGTTACAAAATTTAAAGTTCCTTGGCATAGCCAGCAAAATAAGATTTGAATGTTGTCTGTCAAATGTGCCCATAGAAAACCCATTAAAATAATGAATTTTTCATCCTTAAAAAAGCATTTATAAATACATTTTTTTCGAGTTATTTCCTTTTTTGTTAATCGCCTACACGGGCGACCTTTTAACAGCTTAGTGAGAAGTGCACCTGTCCTTCCCCTTCCACCTTTCACTTCCCACCTTCACTTTTCATCACCCACCGCCCCCTGACTTGTGGTGCGTTTTTTGTGTAAATTTATGCAGCTTCCAGGGCAATTTTCTCCCCCAGCGATAATATTTGTCTACGGTTACACGCTTCGACAGCCAAAACTGTAAAGCAAACATGGGAAAAGCGTCTGTCCCCTCGGAAAAGTCCTGCCCCTTCCATTTTCCATAGCTCAAGGCTGTAAACGCACTTTGCCGCCAGAAAATTCTCGGGGGATAACTGGAAATTCGCATCCTCGTAACGCAAGTGTTTGAATAATGGAAAATTATGAAAAATTATAACAACAGCATTTACCGAGGAAGTGGGGGTGTGAGATTTGCGGAAGGAAAGTGGGTTGTTGAGTGGCTCTCCCAGTGGGTGGTGGGTGGATGGTGGTCGTGACCTCGGGTAAAATTAACGGAAATCTGCTGATTCCAGCTCATTGCCGTTTTTAATTCAATTTCGAGGCTAAACAAACATCGGGGAGAGAAAGATGTGTTTATTGTGTCTAAAAAGAGACAACAATAAAAACAATAATAATAATACAGAAGCAATATTTTAGTTAATTGCCAACGCAGGTGGCCCGGAATAAAAGCTGAGGCCTCTCAATTGTGCAACTTCAAAGCGGCAACGCTTGAGACACGGGATGATCCTTGAAAGAAAGGCAGTAGGGTGACAAGCCCTTTTCAGGTCCTGGCCAAAACAAAACGACAAAGTAGGAGAATATCGCAGACACAACAGAGATCAGTTCACAATGGAGTGATGAGGGGTGATGAGTGGGCACATTCTTCGGCTCCTCCACTCTCTGTGTGTATGTCCGGGAAGGGGTAACACCAATATTTGTAGAGTTGAGCGATCGAAATTATGCCAAGCTGATGATTACTAATTTCTTGGCGACGACCGAAGACAAATATTTGAAATGCCCTCCAGGTATTCCTCCTCTATATACTCGCATGTATGTTCCTCTCTATCTGGCAGATCGGAGAACGAAATCACCGCGATCACTTGAGCTGCGGGATTAGGCGTATTTGACTTGCACGCACCAAAGAAGGCAAGGCGAAAAAAGAGAGGCAGACAGACAAAGGGAACGAGTTTGTTTGCTCTACAGGTAGAGCTACTGTTTTACGATCCAATCCAATCCCATCCCATCGAAACCAATCCGATCCGAAACCACCCGATCCTCGAGTGTCTAAATAAAAATAATAATTGTAAATGATGAAGTCAAAATAAGCAGATCATTTAAATGCCAAACGATGTTTGGATGGGAACGGAATAATTAAGAGAATTCAGAAGGCACTTTTGGTAACTGAAATTTATGAAATGAGAACATTATGTGAAGGTCTTAACTATAACTAACCAAAACATGGCAACTAACTTGTATGGCAACTTAACAATATTAATTCAATGATCATAAATTGGTTTCTAATATTATCATCTCGGAGTTTTTAGGTTCTCAGCTTAAAGATTAATAATTAAATAGAAGATCACAAATTGAACGGACTCTTCTCTGCTAGAGTAAGCTTTGTGTAGGCTTCGAATTTGTTAAGTTTTTCCCTTCTGTTTTCTCTTTTGTTATTGCTGCTGTTTGTCTTAGGCAAGATTTTCAATAATTATTGCCACTTATGGCCCGGCTGGGGTCTTAGAGAGACTGTCCAGAAATCGCGGGGCGCAGGGGGTCTCGAGTGGCAACTCTTGGCATGCAAATATGCTAAACAGTAGCAGTCACAAAAGCCGAGGTTCCAAGTTGGAAGCCAGACCTGAAGTTGATTATGCTGCTTAAGTCAATGGCGAGCGATGACTGAGCACAAGATTTACTTGGGGATTGGGATTGGGGATTGGAGAATGGGGATCGGGGCTTGGGTATGGCTGCCGTCTCTTTCTTCATCCACTTTGCTTGTCAGAGACAAGTTTGAAGTCTCTTTTTGTGTGTTGTATGTTAATTAGTCGCCCTCATGAGCCAGCAGATTCGAGATTCCCCGATTTCCAATTAGTTGAAAAGTTTTGAAATCATTTCCACACTTCGGTTTTTCATTTTTATCTAATAGCTTCCGCTCTGGTCTTGCAACCTGCATCTAATCCGCTTAGGATTCCAATGTTGGCCGCGGGTCACATTTGTCGCGTAATCAAAAAGCAGGCGTCAAATCGCCTGCGGGTTAAGTAACGCCACGCCTCTCATTATCCTAAATGGTTAGTAATGTTAATGTGTAAGTTGTCTTAAGCTGAAGGCCAAACATAAACCCACACCCCCTCGAGTGTCAACAAATGTCGCACTTGTCCGCCTTCGTGGATTCCAAAAGGTGAGGGTGATTGCAGAAGGGGTTCCTGTTTGGGGTGGGACGGGTTAGATTAAACATTTGACCGGTTGACAAACATATTGCCAGGGAAACGTAAACTAAGGGGCACCGGAAAGCGTTGCTAATCCTTATCAAAGACGCGGAATAGCCACCCATCAATGTGAGCTCAAAAATGTGAACAAATTAAATTGTCAACTTTTGTCGTCACTTTCTTCCTTGGTGACCTCTCAATTTGTTTGTTTGTTGTCGGGTTTCCTCGACACTAATGGACTTTGAATCACATTTGCCGACGTTAAAGGGATGGTTTATCCCTCCGGGCCCCCAGGGTGGGATTTACAAGGGAGCAGAAGGCATCAGGAATCCCTGCATATTTACATTACCAATGATACGATTCAGGGACAACCACCAAGCAAATAACCATCACCATCCGTTTAAACATGCGGTTGTGTCCCGAGTCCCATTACCCAAATTAAGTGAATCATTGGGATTGGCATTGTTTTGCTTTCCTCGGCGGAGAAGCCCCGCAAAATGTACGCGGCTAACAACTAAATAAACAAGACCAAGTTCTCAGAGGGAGAAATCGTTTAGAGAAGAGAGATGGCAGTGCAGATGCCGGAGATTCTCATTCTGATTCAGATTCAGATACAGATTCAGAATCTGATTCATATTGGTTAAGTGGAAGGGAGCGGGGGTGTGGCACTCAATTGGTTTCACGCGGGGAATTAAAATGAGCGTGAAATTAGAGCCAAATAGAAGAAAAGGTTGTTGGGTAGAAAGAGGGGGAGGTAGCAATCCTAGAACCACAAAAGCCATTGAAGTTTGATAATATTTTCCTTAAATTGAGATTAATCATACTCTGAACTCACCTCAACCCTTTCCTCTTTGAGATCCACCTTGAGAGCCAGTTGCTCCCTCAGCACCACATCCGGATAGTGGGTCTTGTCGAAGGTGGCCTCCAGTTGCTCCAACTGCTCCTCCGTGAAGATGGTGCGATGGCGGCGCTTCCTCTTCGGCGGAGGTCCATGACCCAGGTGTCCTAGGTGGTGCTGCCCGTGGCCGTGATGATGTGCGCCCAGATGTGGGTGGTGCGGATGTCCGTGGGGGTGGTGCGGGTGGTGTCCGTGACCCGCCAATCCTGCGGCTGCTCCGCTCACATGCGCCTGCATCTGAGCGGCAGCCACATGCGCCACCGCAGCCGCGTGCATGTAGTTTGGATAGAAGTTGGGGTACGCCACTGCAGGGAAAACAAAAGGAAAATTCATTATTCTCTGGCTGTAATAACAGTCATATCATCATCATATAAGCGCTCGAGAGAGGGACGGGGTAAGTGGAATATTCCTGGGTAAATCCTTAAAAATGCGCATAACGAAACGCGGAAAATAAAACGGCCGCCATGTTGGCTTTACAGTGGATGCAAAATGACTAGAAGCGGACAAAAAAATATGTATAAAAAATGTACCCTTAGTTTTTTGGAGTAATAAATACTGGCAAAATACTTCAAGAATTTCACAATGACCGTTAAATATTTGCATGGAACATTCCAAAACAGAATCTATTATTTTTACCCCAGCTGTAAGCATATGTGAGGCTTCCGTTTCCGGTTGCAGCAAGCTGGGGAAAAAAGTTGCTTCCCTGGTTTTTAATATTCATGTCCTGCGGGGGAGCCTTTGAATGAATTTAAGCGGGATTCTGCATAAATCTGCGCCGGAGATCCACGCTCGAATCAACACAAGACCGGAGCCCATCTTAAAGCCACCCCTGACCCAGGATTTCTCCGGTTTTCCGGCCCAATCTAAGACTTAGACCCCAATGCAAATCCTCTCACCGCAAAATCGAAGGAAAATGGAAGGGAAATGCGGAATCATCTTTCACGGATCATTGCCTAATTATGAATAATGCCATTCAGGCTTCGCTTGGGAACGGGAGTGGTTCTGTTCAGTGGGTGGAATTGAGGATGAGGATGTCAGGATGAGTGTGGGTGATTTCTGACTGCATGAGTGCGTTCCCTCAAGCTGTTTTCTGGGAGAACAAGGAATTCAAAAATATTCGTTGTTAGCTAAGAAAGAACCTTAAGCTTTCATAAATAACAATAATTCCATAACATCGATGGAAAGTGGTGGTAAGTCTATAAAAATTCGCTTGCAGCTTAAAGTTTAAATAAATTATATATGGTATATATAGTGGACTAATGTTAAGCTCACCTAGAAAATCTGAGGGAGAGGCGGCGAAGCCGCTTGCTGCTGCAGCCGCCAGGTGACCCAGATGCAGGCCAGGATGCTGCAACATGGCAGGAACCCTCTGCGGTCGGATGGGACTGGCAGCTGCGCTGGAACTGGAGTTTGAGTTGGGCGAGGCGGGGGACTCGGCGCCACTCCTCTTCAGTCCTAAACTGATGCCATTCGAGGTCAGTCCATTTTGGTTGCCATTGCTGCTGATGTGGTTGCCTTGGCTTGCAGCGGATGCTCCACCTTGTTGCCTGGAGCCCAAAATGCTGTCGATGGTGAATAGAGATGCGGCGGCAGCTCCTCCTCTCCGGTCCTCCTCCAGAATAGTGACTCCCGACTGGCTGCCATCGTCAGAGGAAGGGGTCTGACTCTGCGATTGCTGGTGGGCGTGTTGCTGCTGGAGCACCGATTGCAATCGCTGACCCAAGTAGCCACATTGCTGGGAGTTCAGGAGCATGGCGGTGGTCAGGTGATAGGCGGCCGAGTTGCCTGGGGATCGTGAGATCTGCCGTGGTGGCTGCTGCTGCTCTCCAAGATCGCTGGGCGATCTCTTTGAGCGTATAACCCGACGGCGGGGAGTTGGTTTCAACCATTTGTGCGAGCATAGAACCAGCAGGAGGTGGCGTGGGCGGCGGGGAGGGGCTGGGCGTGCTGACGACGGTGATCTTGAACTTGGCCTTCGAGGGCGGAATGTCTGGCGCCGTGTTGGGAGTGGTGGTGGTTCCTCCACCGCCTCCTCCTCCAGGGGTCCACAATGAGGAGAGAATTTTGAAGGAGTTTGTGGAACGTTCAAGATCGAAAATGTTTTTTTTTTTTGTAACACAGATTACTTTATTACAACTTTTTCTAACTCTTTAAAATCGAAGAAAAATCCACTAATTGGTTCAGAGAGTTAAATTGGAGTCTAGGAAGTTTTCCCGTCACTGGTTTCCACAGAAATTCAATCAAGGTAAAATTCACTGAACCGAACGATAATCACGCACCAGAATCGCGTCGTGATTTTTGATAATTTTCACAGGTTTTTCAGCCACCGGGAACCCTTCTTGTCCGCTCGAGCTGCGAAACTGTTGTGAGAGCGTTCCGCCCGACAAGTTGTCGAGTAGTCGTCAGGCCAGTTCTCGTACAGATATAGATACTTACTCTCAGATACCAGATACAAACGCACGGTCTGCTCTCTCGCTTAGCGGACATATTGGGAGTTCAGCCAATGGAATTGAGGCGAAGCCACGCCCTCAATGCTACCATATTGTTTGGCAGCGCTCTCTGGCTGCGGACCTCTCTCTATAAACCTTTCTCCCTCCCTTTCTTTTCATCGTTCAGTGTCTCTTTCCCTCGCTCTTGTCGGTGGTGGTTGAAGGTGTCAGTGTCCCCATCATGCAGTTTTCCAGGTTTTAAGGTTGCCAGGAGGTCTTTTATAAAGATGGCGCTATGGAGATAATGCCCCGCTCCCAAGCCCCCTTCATCCCAATTATTCTGTGTTTTTGTTGTATTTTTTCGCTCTTTACCTACTTTCTTTGGCCACTGACAGTTATTTATACAGATAAAGTCATCACTGACAGACCCACGGCCCCCCAAGAAAGAGATAGCTGTAGAGAGTGCAAAAGAGAAGGGGCGAGGGTGCACAAGGGATGGCTATACTGCAGCTATCTCGTTCACCCGAGTGGGCAGTGTGGGGTAGCATAAAAATGCTGATGAACGTGATGGGTGGTGAAAAGACTGGCTCTCTTCTCGATTTCAGGGGATTCTACGATGCCTCTGCCGGCGCTGTATCTTAAGAAGATAATGACTAAATTAATGCTTTTATGTTTCTGGCAACACATAAACATCATTATGCGCTCAATCCGCCCACGGAGATGCGCTGCTTCTTGCCCTGGTTCCTTTCTCCAGCTTCGTCATCTGGCCCCTTCGGAGGTTAAGGGTTATAGCTGAGGAGGAGAGCTGAATGCTTTATATAGCAAGCATTCTACCGAAGATAGTATACGGGAAGGTGAAGCTTTCGCAGGAAGCAAATTGGAAGCGCCCTACGAATAATCTGCAGTACTTTGGTGACTCTGGCGACCGTTCGCTATTGTTCCACCTCGTGTGTGTGCATATGAAAATATTTTAATCTAAAGTTTCCACATCAAACATGCCCAAGTGCAAAATCCCCAATGGCCCCCGGGGTCACCCGCACCCCCTCCCTCACCCAAATGCAGGAAAACAAAAGCTAAGCTACGACTAATGATAAATGCAACTCTGGCAAGCCACACACACACAAAAGCAAATGGAAAGCCAGCCAGGAAAACGAATGGAGCGAAAAGTCCATAGAATGTCACCTATTCGGGGACCACTTGGAAAATAATTCGCAAGAATAGTTAAGATTTGTTAAACATTTATTGTGTTAAAGGTACTCACATACATGATTCTGTATTGGGAAAGCTACCAATCGATGTAACTGTTATAAATTATGAATTAAATTAATATTTTATTATATGTAATTTATCTTAAATTAAAATAATATAAAATTGTAATTTAAGGCATTTTGCTCGGTGTTCTTTAAAGGGCGAAGAGGTCCTAAGAGCGAAGCTTTCATAAATGCAGATATTTGAGTGTGGGCCGGGAAATATGTGTGGAACTGATTAGGGGGAAAGGACGAGGGAGGAGTTGCCTGTCGCATATTGCAAAAGGATGAAAGGATGACGGCTGATGACGTCGAATGTGGCCAAATGCTTTTAGAAATTATTGAATAATTAAGCAGGCAAAGGACCGCAGGGCGAGGACGTTTTCTCTCCAAGGTTCTCTCCGATTCTCAGTGGATTCCCCATCCCATCTCTCCCTGGGCTTTGCTATTTGCCTTTGCACTGAACTTCTTACATGACCAAAAACTCCCGACGGGAAAACCGATGGAGGTGGTGCAAGTATAGAAGAAACTTCAGGGGGAGAAAGGCAAAAAGAAGAGGGAGAGAGGAACCACTGGGAGTGCGCTTCTCGCTAAGCTTAAAAGTTGGGCTGCACTTTTTCTATTATTTTCCCTGCATACTTTTTTCTGGAACTTTTTGATATTTTTCCCCTTGCTCCACGACTCTGACCTGATTTATTACCCCACTCGCTGTGCACTTTTTGTTTTAGTTCGTAGATTGAATTTTAAATAAAAAATTAAATTAACTCGTCTAAGTATTGTATTTGGTTTTGCGCCACTACCCTTCGATTGGCTGTGCGAAAAAGTTCAATTGGCAAAGGACTAAGCAAACATTGTGGAATAAAAGGTTTTTCTACTTTTCCATTTGAGCGCCGGAGAAAAAGCGACGGAAAACTGCGGGGAAAACCATCATCTTCTTCTTCGAACTTTTTCTTGGCCACCGATGATGATGGTTTTTATTTCGATTTTCTGTTGCCATTTCTCTTTCGACGCCCACGGCTACATTTTCCAGTTGTGCAAAATTAGAAAAGTTTTCCTCGCTCTCACTGTCTCTCTTTCTCCCTCTAGGAATTTTTCCCAGAAGCGGTGGAGCAGTGAGAGAAGGAAGCGGGGGTGGGAGGGCGTGTGCTTTGCGTATTTGTCTTGTTAAAAATTTAAGCGAATTTCCTCGAGAAGCCAAATCGAAATCAGCAGCAGAATCCGCACCAGAATCGGAATCAGATTCTTCGGATTCAGCAGTTAAATCCCGTGATGAGGATTTGCCATTGCGGCTGAGTCGCCTGCTGCCGACATTGATATGGTAATGAAGCCTCGTCATCGGTATCGCCTCTAATCCACGCCAGCAGTAGCAACCCCTGGATACATCTCTATATGGTCACACCGGTTTTCTCTTAGCAGTCAATTAAATGCCTAATCCAAATATCGTTTTATGCGTCGTACGGTCGATCCAGTCGGATGTTTCTCATGTCGATCCCAGAGGTACACAGGAAAAAATTGTAGTAGCAGAAAATTCAAGAACATGACGATATCTGCTGGTACCGTAGCTTTCTAATGGATTTTGACCTTTTGGTATTTGTAACATTTTTTTTAAATTCTCTATTTAAGTAATCCAAGTCGGAAGCCCTTTTGATATCAACTCTCTCAGTGTAGAAAGTAGAAGCAATTTCTGGCAATGGCAGCCGCATCAAGGGATCAGTCAGCTCAGGGATCAGGGATAAGTTTAATCTTGCGATATGCGTAAGCGTGCAAATTGCCTCGATTACGCATGGCGAGAAGGAGAAAGAGACGGGGCTATGGGATCAGAGAGAGAGAGGGATGGGTGGAGACAAAAGGTGCAATAAAACCGAAAACCCGTGCGGATGAATGGGATGCCATGGAGGGAACGATTCGGGGCGTGAGGCAAAACCAAAATGGTCGACAAAAGAGCCGCTTGATCGAGCGGGAAAGAGAGGGAGATAGAGCGGGAAAGAGACAGAGGGCGGCCATCAGGAGCAGCTGCTCCTTTCCACATCCCAAGGATCCGTGTTTTGGGTTCGTATTTGCGTAAACAAGGCCACACTTTGGTCAGGGCTGTTTGATATTGGGCTGTGGCGGGATTCCCGGCTTGTTTGATTTGCTTTGGGAAGATACTTCTGGATAATGCCTCAATTCAGGGCTCAATCGAATGGAGAAGTATAATGGAACCAAGTGAGAAATCAATTGACAGATAACCCCAAACAAAATTCTGATCTGAGTCCTCAGGCATTCGTCTTCCTTTAGAAGGTTTAATGGTTCAATTATTTGCTATTCGAACATTAAGCCAGATGAAAATTATTTAAAAAAGTGTATTTATGTCAAAATATATCTAAAACTGTGGTTTTACCAAGTACAAACTCAGGTTATATATTATTTCCTCTAATGGAATTGGTTTCCTTCTCCTTTTCCAAAAATCAAAAGCCCAAAGCAACTCTCCCTTCCATTCTGCTTTTAGGCTGTCATAATTGCTCGTGTTGATTTGATGCGTAATTAAAAATTTAAATTATGTGACCCGGGGATATTTTGGGGGCGCGTGGGTGGAAAAAATATGGAAAAGGGGCGAGAATGGCCAGTCAAATATTTGTCGAGTGGGAATGGCTGGGAAAACATCCTAAACGAAGGAGGTAAAAAAGAGCCTGGCAAAAGGCAATCCCATTTGCAAGAACTTTTGCTCTTTACCGAAAATTACTTCAACTCAATTAATTAGCCGAGTTTTCTTTGCAGAAGGACCTTTCACCACTTTCTAGCTGTTTCCATGCCCTTTTCAGATTGCTGTTTGTCCCAACTCTTTCTTGACAAATCTCGAAAATCAAAATATGGGCCTGAGACTGAGCCTCGACTGCAATCCCAGGTCCTGGCGATGTTTCAGTTGCTTCTGCTCCTGTTCGACGTATCCGTCACCTCTTACAAAGCAAAACAAATTGGCAAACAAACAAATCGCGAAAGGAAATGAAATCAAACAAATGCAAGGATTGCAAAGGTGAAAAAGGGAAACAAAAATAAAGGCTCAGTATTGGAATAGCAAAAATATTATTGGGAAACTATTTGGGAAAATATAAAAAATTGATCAGCAAACTAGTGAGAGTACAGAAAACGTATTTCAAAAGTGTATGAAGAAGGTATACGAGCATGTAACATTATAATGTTGATGCTTAATAATTATTATTGGTAGAAAATACTCTGAAGTAGTAAATTGTTATATTGAATTTGATTTTCACAGATTGGATTGTGTATTTTGTAGCAGTGTAGGAGCAGTCCCTCTGGAGGCTTTTTTTGCAGCGTGTGTGGCGTTATTGTTTTCCCCTGGCCATGTTGTCCTAGCCTGTCGTCTTTTCTCGTCCCGTTCCTATTCCCTTTCCCCATTTCCTTGTTATCCCGTGTTCTGAACGTATTTGCCATGTTGTCTCGGGCATAAAAAACTAACCCAAACAAAACTGCTATGCAGGTTCGGTTTTAAGGTCCTGTCTGGGCTTGGGCTCTTAACAATTCTCCGATCGTTTTCCCGGCCGCTTTTCAATTGACCGTTGCAAATCGCAACAAAGATCAGCCCGGATAAGCTATGTTGTATGGCAAACAGAGTGAAAGAGAGGAGGTTGCCCCCTCCATTTCCCTGCTCATTTTTTGTTTCGCATTCTGTCCCTTTCTTCACACGCCCCGCAAGAGAATGAAATGCTTTCTCCGCCATACTGTTCTCTTTTTGCCTTTGTTTTTGCGGCGATTGGTGATGCGCATTTGATTGCTGCGATCCTCGGATTTCAGTGTATCCCTCGTACCCCGAGCATGTTATCCCTCTGTTCGTGTTTAAGTCCTTGGAAAATCGTTTTTTGCGCCTTTTCCATTTCCTGGCCGACTAATTGCGAGAGAAATCTGCTAAGACCTCCAGACCTCGACTAGATTGAGATTCAGATTGAGATTAATATTGATTTCAGCAGCAGCATCTGAATAAAAAGGGTGTGAAGTGGAGGGCCACTTGAAAAATCTCGTTATCCTGTCAACGGCAGGACTCTTTTGCCTTGGCACTGCGCTCCTTCCGCTGGGAAAACTGCCAGTCATCTATGAGTTTGGTTCGGTTTCGGTTTGGAAATGTGGAGGAGTGCCTGGTGCCAAGTGCTTCGGCAGCTGTCCTTTTGCCCGCAACTCGCATATCGCTTACAGTCCGAAAGCAGATGAATGAAAGCAACGATTCTGATTTCGGTTCTGATTCTGTCACCCTCGTCCACTCAGAAAAAATGGGCTCAAATTTAATTACTTTACTAAAATATAAATAACTTGATACATAACTGACTATTTAACGGTGCTGGGACTGGCTTTCAGCATTACATAAACATTTTTTATACAGGTTTTTTGTTAATTTTAACAATGTCTTAAGAATCATGTTTTTTCCTCCATCGCGCGAGAGTAAATGAATGAAAAGAGCAGCCGTTTTTCATTTGTCCTTCCTTTATTTTCCACCCACGATAACAACAGCAGAGGGAAGGAGGCAAGGGGCAGGATCAGGAGCAGGCAAGTCCTTTGTTGGGCTTAGCAGTAGTCCGGGCAGCATTTTCATCTTCATCCTGCGAGAAAGCACACAACTCGAACCACTCAAACGCCTCGACGGGACTCAATTGTTTTCGAGATCAATTTGCAACTTAATTGAAATCCATTTAAAGTAATGAGAGTTACTAACTTGTCCTGCCCGACCCGAAATCCTTTCGCTACCCTCCGCGTGCCTTTGTTTTTCCATCACCCTTGCCCTGGCTACCCTTTTCGGCGGCCGCAGGCTTTATTTTGATCCCGTGCTCAAGAATTATAATCCCACGCAGCACAGCAGAGGCCGAGATACCTGTGAAGGCATCCTGCCGTCTTCCGATTGTTTCGGCAGTCCTGATTGTCCTGTTGTCCTGCGGCCACAGATCTATTTGCGAGCCGTGCAAATGCAAATTGTCCCTAATGTAGCTCAAGTAAGTAGCAATCGCCCAGCTCCCCGCGGCGAGGATTCTCGTTGGGATTTCAAGTGGCCGAATGGGAACTAGTTTCTAAACGGACAAAATATCAAAATATTACTTATTACTAAAAAACTAAGTTTCTTTTAGTTTAGGATTTAAATTCAGTTTGAAAAGCCTCTTCAAATAATTTATTTTATTTTTTATTTGTTTGTCCACCGGCAGTTCTATTTGTGATTTAATTTTTAATGATTTGGGATTGCTTTTAAGCTTAAGTTCCTCCGAACTAGTTCTCGGGCTCACAGCACACATTTGAACCACTCGAATTACAATTTTTTGGTTGCGATGCGCGAAAAAATATGCAAAATAAATGCGGGCAAAAAAGTCGCTGGCCAAGTCCATTAAAAAGGGAATAAGTGCGTGCAAATCCTGGCCGCAGGATGTTTTTCATATTATCAGAACGCATATTACTTCATCGGAAATGAAGAGCTTTCGTTTCCCGCGCAAGTTGCCAAAGTAAACATGTGTGAAGAGCTCTGGGAAAAGGGAGGGATGATGGGCGTGGTGATGGCCCTGATATCCATATCCATATCCATAACCAGAACCACGCGTCTTTTTTCGTTACACTAAAACCGCAATACAAACACAACCACACCCACTCAAGAGCCGGGAAAGGACGAGGGCTATAGATATGCAAAATGGGCTACAGGCTATATACTGTGCACCACATTCAAGTTGATCCCCTTGTAAATCTCTAAATTGTTTTATGAACATATTGGCCGGGAAGGTGTAAACCTAATTTTCCCTTATGGCCCGGCGAGGCAGGTAAAGTGGAAGTGCAACCCGGACTTTTTGTTCCGGCTCTGCAGGATGCACTCCTTATCAATGTGGCCTTTGTTTGACCGCCTCATTTAAATCGTACCGCTGGCCAATTTGCATTCGCACTACAGCCAAATTGATCCGCCCTAATCCCAGTTTCAGATTCAGTTCCCGAACTTCCTTGCTCCTTTGACCGACCGACCGATCGACCGAGATCTATAAGCACGGGATTTGAATTTGCTAGGAAAACAAAACTCCTCTGCCTTTTCCTCTGGCTTTAGCCTTAGCCTGGCTTGGCTCTACTTCTCCTGGTATAGAATTGGATATGGATTTCGAACCGATCCGGCTTGGCTTCTGCTTCTGCTCCGGTTTTAACTTTGCGCTTGCCCTTTGCCGGGACCTTCAAATTGAAGTCAGTAATTTTGAGAAATACGATTTTTGAAACTTGTAAAAATTATTATTATTTTTAATATATGAATAACCATTAATATTTTAAGATTATATGAACAGGAGCCTTTTCTTAATCATAGAAATCATAAGAATATTTTTCCAGCTTTTTTATTTTTTATGGATCTTTCGTTAGATTACACAAATTAAATTAAAAAATTTTAATATGTTCGATTTTTGGTGCATATATTTTAAATTGTTAATTTCTTAACACTGAAAGGGACCACAGTGCTTCCACCTGTTGGTCGTTTTTATTCCCTATATTTCGTTTTTGGTACCCTGCCCAGCGTAAACGCCACCTGTGGCTTGCTAATGTTGGAACCAACGTGGCAACCTTTTCGCTAACAGCTGTTTCTGCCCGATGGTTGATGTGGAGTGTGACAATCTGACCCTATTGCTGTTTCTGATAATATAATTTACTAAGATTAAAATTACAAAACATCTACCAATAATTGTCACGCGTAGAGTTTTTTATTTTTAGGTGAAAGGCAGACTCGAGTTTTATATCTGGCAGCTTTTTACGTTGTTTTGATTCAACAAAGGTGGCAACTCCTTATCAGAATTGTTATTTTTCTGAGAAGTAAACAAAAGTTGGATGAATGATGGGATCTCAGTTGTAACTTATGAGAGCTAATGCAGGAGGCAAATTTAGAAGACATGGCCAGGAAAAGAACGAGGAAAAGGAGCAAGCAGCGTCGACGACGGAAGAGATGTGAGGAAAAGCCAAAACCACAAACTTCTCGGGATCAGTGGACCAATGTATCTCAAAGTATAAAAGACACCCATGAAATTTGTATTATCCATATTTTGATATGTTATACTCCACCATAGTATACCAAACCCTATTTGAGTGGCACCACAACCATGTAATGAGCCTCTGTCATGGAAATAATCCGAACCAGGATCAGGACTTAGAGGATGTGCCAGAGCAACCTGGAACAACGCAGTGCCTTGATTACGTCTATGAGAGCTCATCGGATGAGGAGGAAGTTGAACCCATTGACGAGGAGTATCTTAAGTTCCTGGAGGTGACCATCAAGCATCAGCAGGAACTGAGAGATCGAAGAGCTGCCCAAACCACCGACTCTTTAGAATTGGCTTAGGATAACCTAGTGTTCTGTGGATTTTTTATATAAACAACTGATTATAGCTATCAGTTAATCTATTTGCATGGATTATCTCCACTGCTTGGACACCATTTCGATTTGTATAGACTTCGAGTTAAGAAAATGATGAGTAAAAAGTTTGTAAACATTTAAATGTGTTCGAAATTAAGTATTTCCCTAGATATTTTTGAAAATGTTCTACGTCATTTCATTCTTTAAAGAGAAAGCCTCAGGCTGAGAACCAAAATTTGCGTAGGACGAGAACTGTGCTGTAGTTCCCGGAACTGTTATTCTGTTATGTTCAGATGAAGTTTCACTAATGAAGTTGTGCGAGGACGGGCTTTTTTTGGCCAAAGGAAACGCACATTAACCCGTCCAAGACTAATGTGATCTCATTTGTAATCGCGAACGAAGAACAAGAAGAAAGCGTCAAATTGGGGCATGACTGAAGAGGGGAAGGCCTTCTTTGAGGGGACGGAGAACCATTTGTGGGTCAGAGACAATGTCTGCTGTTCGTGTGGGCGTGGCAAGACGGGCATTAGCCAACATTTTTCGGCACTTCAGCAGAAAACCTAATTAAGACGTCCATCTCTGAGTGGCAATGGATCCCGCTTCCCTAACATCTACCGCACTATACCTCTCCTGCCCGAACTCCACCCTCGAAGCTCTTCTCCCACCACCTCCTCGTCCTCCTCTAAAATCACGACTGGCGACGACAACTGCGAACGACCTTTCTAATGCCCGGCCACTGCATAAATCATGGTCCAAATGGCGGCCACCTGCAACCGGCAGCAATAGCAGTAAGCCAACAGCAACTGGTGGTGTACTGAAAGAAAAATGGCACCGTATGCGGAAAAATTAAAGTGTAGGCCAACCTTTCTTCTTTTTTAAGTTCTTGTAAAACACAATGAAACTTTAAAAACGTTTAGAAAGATATCAGTTTTTATAACATGATACAAGTTGAATATTTCTGCTAGCCAAACCAATCGAATATTCGCCAGTGTAGCTAATAAGGCTGTGCCTGCAACGGGAACGGAAACTGCAACTAAAACTTAAGCTAAAACTAAAAACTGTGATGGGAACTGGGGAATCACAGTTGGACATTCACCAAACGGGAGCGATAAAAGTTTAGCCGAATCGAAATTGAGATTTCAAAAGAAAGTTTGGCTCCACCCACCGAAGATACGAGCAATAACACAGAAATAAAGTCCAACAGAACCATAAAATCGTATATATAAAAAATCTGATTAAATTTGATCAAAACATTAGAAAATTCAAATAGCTCCATGAAATTTTGGATTTCTTAGGAACCTTTTTAAAAGGCCAAACATGTTTGCTAATAGCATTTCATTACATTACTAAATATATCTGAGAAGGTGTAGAACAGCAGGGCCAAGAAGCTGCTACAGAAGCCGCCGAGCAAAATGGCTGCCTCGAGGGCCAGGCCCAGAGTAAAAAGCGAGAGAGTGTGAAGGAGAAGTCTCTAATTAAAGGGGTGTAGCTGTTGCATATACCTAAAACAGGGAGAAAGAGGAGAGAGATCGACAACGGCAACATGAGGAGCTGAAGGCAAGACAAACTGGCCAAAAGGGCTGTGGCTGTGGCTGTGGCCACCTGTTGCCGTTTTCTGGCTTCTCTGCCTCTGGATTTCTCCCTCTTTCCTTATCCGACGCCATGTTGCCTGCTGATTTGCATGATACTGCGATCGAACACCCCCAACTTCTCAGATATGGCAAGACATCGCGGCATATGAATATTTTATGAGCTGGCAACCGGCTGTTTTGGAGGCCAACCGGCGACAGCCGGGGTGCATTTGAAGTGCCAGACAAATTGTTGCCTACAAATCAATTAAATTGCTAATCAACAGCGACAACAAACAAAACGGCAGCAGCAACAGCGGCGGCAGCAACAACAGCAGAAACTGTTGCAGTTCCAGCAGCAACAAATCGTGTATTAGGCTCACATTTTAATGGAACCGCATTCCAGAGGCAAAGTCTAGAAGCCATTGTTGGTTCCCTATCGCCAAAGCGACCACAAGAAATGCATAAACATATTGCAGATTGTTTTTTACCCTTTTTTTGGGGGGCTGGGGAGATAAATAAAGGGGCCAAACACAAAACAAAGCTGCCAGGCTCTTGGACACAAACAAGTGCGCTGCAATCGGGTAGTTGAAGGGGGTTAGAGGGGGTTAAGAGGGGCAACAGGGGGTTAAATGCGGGGCTAAAGGGGGAACACGCGGTCAGAAAAAGAATAAAACTAGCACGACCCGAAAAACCAAAGCAACAGCAACAGAAACAGAAGCAACACGAAAACACCGCAGGCGGCATTTGACAAAAAGTCAACTAGCCACATATGTGCATGGACACATTGAGGGGGAGTTGCAAAAGAAGCCAATGGTGGGTAAAAAAGGCTAAAATAAATGGCAGGACAGAAATTGGGCTGAAATGTCGAGAAAGAAAGAAGGGAAATAATTTACAGGTCTTTGAAATAAAGTTCTTGCTGCTTTTCTTATTGTTATAACAGAAAGAATATGAAATAGTGTAAATTCTATAATTGTTTTCTATATATTGAGATTATCTAACTGAAATAAGGCACTGGATCCTATCAATAATACGATTAACTCCTGACACCGCCCACTGATCCAGATGTCATCACCATTCATAAGCGATAGCTATATGGAATTTGAGAGTTAGCTGCTTTTGCAATTCATTCAATCCATAGCCATACTCCCGTATATACCAGTCAACAGATTGGGAATCCGATTCAGATTCAGGCAGTGACGCGGATTCAGATTTAAGCTCGGGCTGAGACTCGGTTCCAGTTTCAGGTTACCACGCATGGGGCTTTTTTATGTCGTTCTCCATTTGTCGCCTGGCACTTTTCTAACTTGCTGTGGGAAAAGGAGTGGCGCTGGAACTGGGAAGACGGAGGAGGCAGATTCGGATGGCGGGGATGCTCGCCGAGAGGGTTGAGAAGCGTGAGAGTCGACAACAAACTGCCTGCGCACGCGTTCAATTAGCTGCAAATTGCAAATCGTGCGGCGCATGCGCAACGTCCCGATGCGATGTCGCCACAAACGGCGGCAACATGTTGCTGCTGCTGCAACACCACACAGCAAGAAACACCCTGATATTCTGATCTCAAATTGTTACTTGGATTGTTCAATGATGGTTTTGATAAGTTGATATTGTTAAACTCAATTTCGAATTTAAGGCCACAGCACTCTAAGTCATGAAATGGCTTACCACTTTTCTTTTTCAGTGTATGACAACGGTAGAAACGGCAACAGTTGCTAATGTGTTGTCAACAAAACTCATGTTGACAGCAGAATCGAATATATTTCATTTCAAATTTGTGCTGAGGCAGGTTGCAGGTGTGGGAAAGAGAAAGGCTCCAAGGAGGTGTCGATGTCCACTGTTAATTGGGTGGATGGCTTGGTGCGGTGGGGCCGGGGGCGGTTAGCGGTGGGCGGAGCAGAGGTAGGTGGTTGCCTTGAGAGAGACACATCCTGTCGCCGGCTGCAACCATAACTCAGTTGCAGCCACTGCGGCAGCATTTGCATGGAGGGAATCGAATTTCTTGATAGATTCGAATGTTGCAGCTGAGTGAATGATAACTGACAGTTGGAACAGCCAGCAGCAGCAAACGGCAGCAACAATGCAAACATTGCAGTCACAGCGACAACATGTTGCTGCCGCATCCTGAGGGAAGTCGCCTGTTTTTGCTGCCTCCTCGCTGCTCCCCGGTTAAATGTCAATAAATATTGGCAATGCTCTCGTCCCAGACGCTGTCATTGTCATGGTTGCTGTGGTTGCCGTCCCAGCAATACTGCACTTAAAAAATAACTAATTATTCACAGAATTAGGTAGACCTTAAGGAAAACTAAAAAGTAAACTCTAAACAAATTAGTTTACCACATCAAGTGACCAACGTTTGTTATACCTTCCAAGTCTTTCTAGTTATTTTAGAGAAAAGGTCTAAAGATTTTTGACAAGTGCACCAGCTGCTTGGAATGCCAGCAATAATCTCGCGTTGTGGCTCGTTTCTGCCAATTCCGAATGCGCACATAAATTCTATCAAACAAGCAAATGGAAATATTAAGGAAATTTAGACATGCTATCCTAAAAAGCGAGGTGGTTCCTCTCGGGTGGGGTAATAGAGAGGACCAGTGGAGGAGCCATGGGATTGGGAGGAGGCTGGAAAGTCAAAGCGACCGCCGCCAATTCGAAGGCGCGGCGCGGCAATGGCAATCCGTGGCATAATACCAGGGAGTATTATGGCCAAAGTCAAAGGCTAGACCGAATGAGTGGTCGGGTGAAAACCGAAACCAACCGCAGAGCCACATACATCATTTTCACACCAAAAAGCAATCGAGGGGAGAAACCTCAAGGCGAGAATTATGAGCGACAACACACGGCAACAACAAATGACTTTGCGAGTGAATTTGCAGCTAATAATTTACACAAAAGCATTTTTAATCATCCAAAGCGAGGCTGCCCGAGCAGCCGGAGAAGCTCCTTCGCCTCGGCATCTCTCCAATAAATTGCCAACGTGCCAGAAACAAAGTAATCAATCAGCGCGGTCAATAGTCAATGATCCCGCTGCGAAGGATGGATCGCGGATGTGGGCAGGGGAATCTCTGGCATCGGAGGATCGGAAGATCGGAGGATGATGCATTTCGGAGCACTGAGCTGGCATTGTGTCAGTCACAGCAGCAACATCAGCGGCATCAGCAACTGCAATGGGAATGCGATGCGATGCCAGATCATTGATAATGATCAGCGGCATCGGCAGCTCCGGCTGCGGAAAACACATCTAGAGTGCAACCTCCTCCAAATGAGAAAATCAACTCCGCAGCTCAAAGTATGCGTAATGGCCCCAGGGAGCTTTGGAGCTCTGAAGATTCTCTATTCTCTGTTTTTCCTCCGATGGGGGAACAACCAGCGGTTGTTTGCCTTTTTGCCTAGATTCCGCGACCGGCGAATCCGCGATGAGAAAATGCGTCATAAATGCGTAAACCCGACGACAGCAGCCACCGAAAGAGTTTGTCAGCGATGGACCAGTGATTGCTGGACGTTTATAATTTCAAATCATTAAGTCCTATTTCTTTTTAGATTAATATAAACGCAAAGTGGGATTTTAAAGATTTTAAAT